CATCTGATTTGCTTTTCTTGTTACAAATTCCTTATTGCCAATTCCTTCATAAATATAGAATGTGGTATCTACGTTGTCAGAATCCCTGGCTTCCTCCTGCCCCTGAAGGTCGCGGATCAGCATTTGAAAATGTTTTAGCTGCATCTGTTGACTTCAGAGGGGAAAGACTAAACCAGGGAACGAATAACAAAGAGCCTTGTGGTATCTTAAAGATGACTCAACTTATTGTGGCAGAAGCTATGAAATCTCTTGCTCTTGCTGCAATCCACTAACACGGCCACCTCTCTGGAAATCATTTGCACATTCTTCAGGACCCTGGACAGTAACTGTGATCTGCGCCTTGTTCCCTTCTTGACTCATTCCCAGTTTCCCTGACAATTATGCTTGTCAGAGCAAGGAAGTTATAGCTATTACTGGCCCCCAAAATAAACCTGGACAAACAGAACCAAGTGTGCTTATTTTGAAAGGTTCAGAATTCTATTTTTCCGTGTGTGTGTGTGTGTGTGTGTGTGTGCAGATTATGCCTAATTTCTAAACTACAATTCACAGGATTCTTTTCGAGGGGGGATGTGCTTTGAATGTGATCCCAAAGTCAGCTGCTGGAGCAAGTTATCTGCTTGGAGTTGTCCAACTTCCTGCAACTTCAGTCTGACCCTGTCTCCTTCCTGACACCTGCCTAAGCCATTTCTCTCGTCCCCATTCATGGTCAGGAGAGGATAGTCTAGTTTATGCAAGCATTTGGCTCCCTTTCCATTTAATTTTATTTAGATGTGTGGAAACGAACCCTTAAGGTTCTTCTCAAAGTGTGGTTTTAAGGATTCCTTCCAACCCTTCTCCAGTTTGGATCATGCTCTAGGTTAGAGAAGGACCCTCTTTCACCTTGAAGATGTACAAATCCCAAGGGATACTGCAGTGGGTGCTCTGATGCGTTGTGGAGCATTTTGTGGTGATGGAGAGAGAGAAGTCTCCTCCTTCTCTAGACTCTTGTTGGTGCCATTGCCAGCATATCCTTCAGAGTTAAATGCAAGCAGAAGCGGAAGATTGGGAGGAGGCTTTGGGGTTGGGCGAGAGTCCACTGTGTCTCACTTTCCAAGTTCCTAAGATTGGTTCAAGTGATGAGTTGATTTCACTTTGACTTTGATGTGTGGGGAGAGGAATTGGCTCATTTCCAGTTGAAATAGAGGATCAGCTGGTCGTTCTCACTTATCCCTTGTATTAGATTTGGATTTGCTCTGTTGCTCTGTTACAAATGGTTAGTATTTTGAGGTCTTTTGTGAATTGTAGTTATTGCAAGCCACCTTGAGTGCTCTATATAGGAAAAGGAGGTCAGGGTTAAAATATTGATACACAAATCCAGAAACCATCTTGGAAAATGCTCCTTGACTGCTCAGCCACACAGTTCGAAATCTATGTTTCAGGGGAAGGGAATCCAGCTCCAGAACATCCAGTCCATTCTAGTTCCACCAAAATGTCACCAACACAGCCTGGAGTCGCTCCTTATTACTTCACAAATCCCAAGGTTGATCCCATGAAACTGTAGCTCAGTTGAAGCAACACATGGAAGAAATGCACCGCTCTTTGTTTTTGTCCCGTGTCCCTAGGTTGCTGGCCATTTTGCCACCCGGCATCATTCTGAAGGGCAAATCCATTTGACAGTTCAAGGTTAATCTGTCCCTTTCTCACGTGGGATTGGTTCTTCCTGCACAGACCTGATACTTGCTAATTGAATGAGTTGATGAAGTGAGTCGTTGGCCCAAACTGGAACAAATTATGCAGCAGTTAGATAAACAAGCTAGAAATGCATTAATTAATGTGCACCGGCCCAGGAAGATGCTGCTGTAAGAAGGGCGGTGCATTTTCCATTATAAATATATGTGCAAATTTATTCTTCTGCAGTGTATTAATTACATGTTATAAGGAATGGTGGCACTAATCTTTCTTCCACTTGCTTCATGGAACTGACTCAATCTTCAATGCCCAGATGGGGCCACCCTCACATAATACCACTGCTAGGAAGAAGGGGAAGGCAATGGACTACATTGGCTGGGTTCTATCTCCTGTTTTCCCCTGGATCCATTTCAGGATCTTATCCCTCCCTGTGACTTTGCATCATCACCTTCAGTTGCCCCAAGGTGGCAGTGGGAGGCTGCCTCACAGTTTGGGAATAACTGCCCCAAGTAATGAAGGTGTGCTGTGGTGTGCTTTTCCTTGCCTGTTGATGGAGGCTGTCATATTGGGTACATGTGATTGACCTGAAGGAGCGTCTCCACCCCCATCGTTCTGCCCGGACGCTGAGGTCCAGCGCCGAGGGCCTTCTGGCGGTTCCCTCATTGCGAGAAGCAAAGCTACAGGGAACCAGGCAGAGGGCCTTTTCGGTAGTGGCGCCCACCCTGTGGAACGCCCTCCCATCAGATGTCAAAATGATAAACAACTACCTGACATTCAGAAGACATCTTAAGGCAGCCCTGTTCAGGGAAGTTTTTAATGTATGATATTTTAGTGTTTTTTGGTTTCTATGGAAGCCGCCCAGATGGGCGGGGTACAAATAATAAATTATTATTATTATTATTATTATTATTATTATTATTATTATTACTTCATGATGCACTAAGCAGAAGTTGACCCTGGGGAGTTAGAAGTTGCAGATTTGGAAAGCACTGCCTCCTTTGTTTTTTGGAAGAAAGAGCAATGATGTAGAATAAGGCAGCCTCAATTCATCTGGCAGTGGTCAGAAAGAGAAGAGGAAATATGGCTCATGTTAAACTGCCAACTAGTCTCTATTTCCATAATAGAAACTGAGGCTGACAGCTGTGGGCCAGTCAGAGAGGACCTGCTAAGCTGGGGTTTGCATCCCCACTCTGTGTCCGATTTTCCATCCATGTGTCTGAACTGTGTATGTTTGAATGGAGGAGATATTGATCCTCTGCAAACAGGCATGTCAGTGCAAAATATCCAGATTTCCTGGGGTCTGAACTGGAGGTGACTGTGGAGGAATGAGACCTTGGGGTCATAAGTTGATAGCTCAACGAAGACCCTGACCCTGTGTGCAGTGGCTGTGAAGAAGTCAAATTCCACTCTGTGGATCATTGAGAGAGCAATTGAAAAATGAGACTGTCGCTATCATAGTGCCATTATGCAATTCTGTGGTGTGACTGCATTTGGAATACTGCATATCGTTCTGGTCGCCTCACCTCCAAAAGGATATCGCAGAGTTGGGAAAGGTCCTGGAAAGGGCAATCCAAATGGTCAAGGGGGTGGCGTGACTCCCCTATGAAGAAAGGACTCTGTAGTTCTAGAGAAAAGGCAACTAAGAGGTGACATGATAGACATTTATAAAATTGTGGATGGCATGAAGAAAGTGGATTGAGAAAAAAACTTTTCTCCCTCTCTCCTAACACTAGAACTTAGCAGAAATCCAATGAAGCTGAAGGCTGAAAGGTCCTGGAAGGCAGTTCAAAGGAAGGACTTATTCAGGCAGCGCATAGTTAAAGGATGGAACTTGCTCCCATGGGAGACAGTGATGGCCACCAACTTGGATATCTTTAAAAGAGGAGGCAGAAGAGGTCTCTCAGTGGCTATTAGCCCTGGTGAATATACTCTGCCTCCACAGCAGTAATGCTTCTGAAGACCAGTTGCTGGATACTGCATGAGAGGAATGTGCTATTGTGCTTGTATTCCCTCAGGCATCTAGTCAGCTTCTGTGAGAAAAGGATGTCGGACCAGATGTGCCATTGGCCTTATGCAGGCATAGGCAAACTCGGCCCTCCAGATGTTTTGGGACTACAGTTCCCATCATCCCTGACCACTGGTCCTGTTAGCTAGGGATGATGGGAGTTGTAGTCCAAAAACATCTTCTGTTTTTTATTATACTCTGGCTTCTCCTCAGATCGTATAAATCTTTCGTCTTTTAGTCCAAAAACATCTGGAGGGCCAAGTTTGCCTATGCCTGGCCTTATGTCACAGCAGGATGTCCTTAGGTTCTTAGAGTTTCTTCACAAGGCAGCCCACGGATAACGTGGAGTGCAGGGACCTTTCCCAAGTACTGCAGCACCATCACGGTTGCTCCTGAAAATTTCAAGCTCTCCTGCCTGTCTTTATATTTTAATGATGCCAAACATGCCTCAGCTGTCAATCCAGTTAGGCGGCAATTACCTTAATTGAGGCTTTTGACAACCAAATCGTGGGCAATTCTGCGGGTCAGCTTGGCATCAGGTAGATGATTTCTTCTTTTCCCTGTATCTTCTCATGCAGAATCTCTAGTGGCTGCATCTTCAGGGTTGGCCTGAACATAATTTCAAAGAACTACACTGAGTGGCTTCCATTTTGGAAGCCCCGGCTGCAGTGAAACTTCCCAAGGGGCCTTTTGCAAGCAAGGGAGTCCAAGAGTCCATCCTGCCTTTCAGGGTTAAACAAGGTATGACATTAACATATGAACATAATAAGAGCTTGCTGGATCAGGCCAAAAAGGGCCCATCTAGTCCAGCATCCTATTCTCACATGCGTTCTGGTGTTATGAGAGAGGGAGGAAAACTTTTCTTTATCCTTGGTGTTTCCAGTGTGCAAATGAAAGATATAAAGTGGATAATAATAATATAGTGGTACCTCAGGTTAAGTACTTAATTCGTTCCGGAGGTCTGTTCTTAACCTGAAACTGTTCTTAACCTGAAGTACCACTTTAGCTAATGGGGCCTCCTGTTGCTGCCGCACTGCCGGAGCACAATTTCTGTTGTCATTCTGAAGCAAAGTTCTTAACCCGAGGTACTATTTCTGGGTTAGCGGAGTCTGTAACCTGAAGCGTATGTAACCTGAAGTGTGTGTAACCCAAGGTATATAATAATAATAATAATAATAATAATAATAATAATAACAACTTTTATTATTTCTACCTCACCCATCTGGCTGGGTTTCCCCAGCCACTCTGGGCAGCTTACAGCACTCTGGGTGGCTTACAGGATGCCCTGGTCCTTTCCCACTGAGTCTTTTCTCTCTTCCCTTTCCAGTACGAGATGCCAGAAATCTGGTTCCAATGGATCCCAACGGCTTGTCAGACCCATATGTGAAACTCAAGCTCATCCCTGACCCGAAAAGTGAAAGCAAACAGAAGACTAAAACCATCAAATGTTCTCTGAACCCTGAGTGGAATGAAACCTTTAAATTGTGAGTACGGCTCAATGGCAACCTTTGACATCTTCTGATGGGTTCCTGGGACTCCAACTTGAAACAGAAAGGGTGGGGTGGGGTGGGGATGGCTGGCTGGCTGGCTGGCTGGTGACACTCTCCTTCACTGCTGCTCCAGAGTTTTGACTCAAAGGGTCAGGGAATGGCCATGATGACTCCTTCTTCACACCATTAGAGTAATAGCAGGAGCCCCAACCATGTGAGAGATGCCCATACTATGGTGTTGCCTCACCTGGATGCAGGTGCCACAGTGGTGTGGAGGGGCGAGACACCTTGTGGGCTCCTACTGCATGGCAGCAGAGCTTCTGATTGTTAACTTTGGGGTATAGGAAGGTGTCACAAGACAGCTATTCCCTAAGCATGGAATGGGGACCTCTCATGGGTCATGGGTGCTTTTTCAGACCCTACACCCCAGCTGAGACCCTACTGTGGCTGGGACTAAGCCTTGAAACCATTGCGAAGAGTCTGTGCGCACCAGTTTGCACAAAACTGGCATGTGCTGATTCTTATGTATAGATGCAGATTTAGAAATTAAATGTCTCAAAAGGCAAAGCGACAAATTTCCCACCCAGGCCACCTCAGATAAATGCTTTGATTTGCTTGTGCTCAACTCCACATCAGTCCTTCTCTAATTCATTTACCCCAGATTATTTTCCCAACAGACATCTGAAGGCAGCCCTATTCAGGGAAGTTTTTAATGTGTGACATTTTAATGTATTTTTAATCTTTGTTGGAAGCCACCCAGAGTGGCTGGGGAGACCCAGCCAGATGGGCGGGGTACAAAACCCCAGTAAACTACAACACACCCCTCCAATTCAATTCCCCCCAATTCCCCCCCTTCCTGGAAACACCCAGGGCCTGGGACCCCCCAGAGACCCACCCATAGCAACACCCCTGCTGAGCCCAGTTTCCTCCCACCAGTCCCTCCTTGCAGGGCTGGTGCTTCCCTGGAATGACTGGGTTGCAAATGATGCTGTGCTTTAATTGCTGAGAAACGCTAAGCGGATTTCAGAGCGAAGCGGCAGGCTCCTTTCTTCAGCTCCTCTCCTCCCTCGCACCCATCCTGTCAGCACTGCTGAGAATGCCATCTCACGCTCCGGGTTGGAGCTGATCAAAGCCTTGCATTTCAATCGCCAGGCGCTCTGAGGTCCTCCATTTGAAGGGGACCCTGTCAGGAAATGAGGCATTAGAGAAGGCACGTCCGCCGAAAACCGTGGCTTCATTTCATAGCTGCTGATTGATTGAGTGCCCACCTGGAAGGCGTGGAAGCAGCTTGCAGATATAGCTCCCTCCAAAAAGAAGATACCTTTTAAAATCCCTTTCCTCCTCCCTTTTGTTTCTGCTAGCCAACTGAAAGAGTCTGACAAGGACAGGAGGCTATCTGTGGAGATCTGGGACTGGGACCTGACCAGTCGGAATGATTTCATGGGGTCGCTGTCCTTTGGAATCTCAGAGCTGCTGAAAGCTGGAGTGGATGGCTGGTAAGGTAGACTTGCCTCTGAAGGGGCTTGGATCAGGGCAATCACTAGCCAGCTGGTGCCCTCCAGATCTTTGCTATCTATTTATTTCATTACATTTCTGTCCCACCTTCCCTCCAAAGAGCTCAGGTGGCATACATGGTTCTCCCCATTGTATCCTCATAACAACCCTGCAAGGTGGGTTAGGCTGAGAGGCAGTGACTGGCACCCCAGGTCACACCCAGAGAGCTTGGTGGCCGAGTGGGGATTTGAACCCTGGTGTCAGCAGCTGGAGTCAGGCGTATGTCAGCAAGGAAACTATAAAGCACCCGATGTCAGTGAAGTTAACTCTTGATTCAAAGAAACCCAAACAGCTCAGTCCTAGTGTTCACAGCAACCCTTCCCAGTAGGTCTTGCCCCAGTGAAGCAGTTGTGAGGACTGAAGGTCCCCGCCTTCCCAGCGCTCTGCAAGGTTTTTTCCCCAGTTCCTTCCCTAGCAACCTAAATCTCTGTCATCTTGTCTCTCTTTGTTCTTCCTTCTTCATTCCTCTGCAGGTTCTAGGAGACCAGGGGGAAGGGGAGCTGGTCACAGCAGGAGGGGGGACTCCCTAGCTTCTTCAGCAGCCTGCCTCATCACTGTCTCCTGGGCCCACTCCCCTCCAGCCTCCTCTCCTGCCTCTGAGTCTGAACTGCCCTCTGTCACAGCCTCTTCCTGCTCCCTAAACCCTGTTGCCTCTTCAGCTTCTAACGCCTCCTTCCCCCAGTCTGTTCCTTCTTCTCCCTCTGACCATTTGTCATCCTCCCACCAACATCTCCCTGGCTCTGAGCCTTCTTCCCCCTGAGGGTTCCTTTGGGGGTTCTCCAGATGGTGCCTCCCACCACTCTTCTACATCCAGTCGGTTCATGACACCTCGTCTCCCAGGTCTTGCTTGGTCCAACACTCCAAGCACTACACCAGACTGGCTGTCCTTGCTGGGACTCATGGGAGAGGTGGTTGAAAACATCTGGAGGCCATGGTGGCAGGAGGTCTTGCTGAAACAAAACAATGGGAATGTATTGCCAGGTAGGGATCTGATCCTTAGGAGCCCAGTTTGCATCTGCACCAGGCAGAGTTGGTTGCAGAGAACCCAGCAGAGAGGCTTCCTGCCCCTCCCCAGGATGAAAGTTTAATCTGTGGATGTGAAGAATGGGATTACTTGCTGAGGCTTCCCTGTTTCCTCAAATGAAACACTGTCCAAAGCAGTTAATTACTGTCAGTCGAGGCGGGCAGCGTGGGCCTATCAACTCCCAGAGGAGTAGGGCCTGTTTGTTTCTGTTTTATCTCCCTCAGCAGGAAACAGGATTTTAATTTTCTTCCTTCCCGCTCCTGGTGCTGAAGAGTTGGGTGACCTTAGCGAGCAGACCAGAATGCCTATAAAACTTCTGTGCGTGCGGCAGATAGCAGATCTAGCTGGTCCTTCTGTGAGCTGGAGGGGGGACTCTTTCCTTGTCAAACTCAACACCTGGATTTGAGGATTCATCCTGGAAGGTGCTGTTTTGAAACCAAGGGGAACAGAAGAACAGAAGAAGAGTCTGTTGGATAAGGCCAATGGCACATCTCACAGTGGCCGAACAGATGCCTGCAGGAAGCCCGCCATCAAGATTCAAGCACAAGAGCCTTCTCCCCTCCTGTGGTTTCCAGCAACTAGTATTATGAAGCTTCACTGACCCCAACTGTGATGGCAGAGCATAGCCAAGGGAGAAAGTTAATGCCATCCTGACCAAGTCAGCCCTTGCGAAATATATTTGTGGAAGTCAAAAGTGTGATTTCTAGGTCCATTGACATCCTGGGCTAATGGCAACAGGTCCTGAAATCCCATGGATTGCTCTACTCCAGGATGCCAAATGGGGAAGGGCTGTAGTAGCTCAGTGGTAGAGCACATTTTGTGCATACAGAAGGTCCCAGGTTCAATCCCCCTGATGGCATCTCCAGGTGGGACTGGGAGAGGCACCCTGTCTGCAACCCTGAAGAGCTGCTACCAGTCAGTGTAGACAATACTGAGCTGGGCGGACCAATGGTCTGGTTCGATATCAGGCAGCTTCCTATGTTCCCATTTAAATCAGAACCACGAGGACTTTATTTTTAGGAGAGGGACATGGCTCAGCATTAGAGCACCTGCTTTGCATGCAGAAGGTCCCAGGTTAAATCTGCCCTAGTGGCATCTCCAGCTAAGCCTTGGGAAGACACCCCAGCTGAAGTCCAGCTGCCAGTTAGTGTGAACAATACAGAGCTAGATTGTCTTCGCTATCTATGTTACCATCTTAGTCTCCTGATGGATTCACACACACAGTTGTAAATCCACTAGTAGCTGTGCTTACTGGACCAAGACATTGTGACACCAGAGGTGAAGATGGGGTACACACACACACACACACACACACACACACACACATATACACACACCCCTACCTCAGTTTCCCCAATCACACACACGCCTTTCTGCCCACTTGAACCTTCCTTTGATTCTGATGATGGGGCAGCCTTCTCCACAGCACTTGAGAGCAGTGGGCTTGCTTAGGGGGTGTGGAGGTCTGGGTTTTCTGAGTTTTCAAAGGAACTACCCATGGAAACCCGACCAAAGCATAGGCAAACAGCAGGATGTTTGTCCATCTGCACGGCAGACAGACAAGAGAACCGTTCCGTTGACCAAATGGTTTTCCCAAAATGCTACAAGGACATTAGCAGTAAGTCATGGACCAATTTGGAATGCACTCCTATGGGAGACAGTGATGGCCACCCACTGAGATGGCTGAGGATCAGACCAATTCATGGAGGAGGGGGGAGACTATCAGTGGCTGATAGCCACAAAAGCTGTGTTCTACCCCCATGATCAGAGGCAGCCATGCCTGTTGCTGGAAGCCACAGGAGGGGAGAATACCCTTGTGGTTGAGTTCTGCTTACAAGGACTTCCCATTGGGGCATCTGGTTGGCCACTTTGAGAACAGGATGCTGGACTAGAAGGGCCATTAGCCTGATCTTCAGACTCTTCTTATCTTCATATGTTTTCTGCTGCGGGCTGTCAAGGCGAAGCAGGGATGGGGCAGTTGGATCTGGCGTGAGTGAAGCAGGGTTGCAAATGAGTCTGGGCGCCGCTTCTGGTTGGCACCAACCGCCACCACTGCCAACTATACATTGCTCAAGCCCCAGGAGCAGATCCATGTCACATCTGAGTCTGCTTCAGTGCTGAGGACCCGTCCCTGCAGTCTGAGGAGCTGAGCTTAAGATCTCCAGGGTTGGCAGCGATGAGCCGGAGGGGCGTTGGTTCGAGGCAAGCGCGACGGGCCACTCCTCCTCTGAATTTGCCGCAAGCTCTCCGAAGGAAAACAAATTGCAAATTTCCTCCAAGCCCTCGCTGCCACCTGTGGAGCCGTCTCCAGCGGGGAGATGGGCGCACATTAAAGAGCATGTAAAATATGGTAAACAGCTCCTTGCTGCATTTTTAAAAACCGTTAAGTGGAGATCTAAGTAATTTTCCTTGTCACAGTGTTTGGCTAAAGTAAACTCCGGGAGGTGGGAGTCTCCAGTGCATTTTTCATCTCTAAAGAGCCGCAGCAAATGGAGGCGCGGAGTTGAAGGGAAGGGTCCGTCCTTGCATTATGCAAATCCTGCTTTGTTCCTTCCCTGCCAGTCAGGCGCACCGCCGCGCTCAGCCGATAATGGCCCCCTGATAAACTCTTCCTCTCCGCTGAAAAGATCTCATTGACAGAACTGGAGCTTCGCCTCCAGCGGCAGAAACTGACTCACAGCTGAATGACAATTCCATGATTCCCCGTAATTGCTTATTAGATTTTGTTTGTTTGTTTGTTTGTTTGTTTGCTCCCCTCCCTTCTCCTGGGGGGGGGGTGTCTTTGCTTTGTAGAAGGCTCTTCCTGAAAGGGTGATGGAGCTACTTTTCTGGGATTGCTCAGCCTTGGAGATTTGGAAATTACAGACCCAGTATGGTGTAGCGGTTAGAGTGCTGGACTAGGACCTGGGAGATGAGGGTTCAAAATCCCCACTCAGCCATAAAGCTCTCTGGGTGTCAGGGACTGGCTGGGTGAGGGAAAGTGGTGGGAGCCAGCTGCCCAAGAGCCTTGCAGGAAGGACACAGAAGAAGGCGACTTAGATCCAGGATCCTGGTGGTGGGACTCTGAAGAGCAGTCTGGGGAAGGGACTAGCTGGGAGGTAGAAGCAGGGGTTTTGAGCGATCAAGGGAAGCCAGGAGAAGGAGGGCGTTCCAAGACAGGGTTAGAGGCTGAGAGTCACAGTGTGAGTGCAGACTCAGACATCGAGGAGTCAGAGTTTAGCCCTGCTACACAGCAGCAGGACAGTCCCATTCCTGCTGGCTCTTTCCCCCCTCTGACACCCCGCTTGGGGAAAATCCTGTACGTTGCTGAGCAATGGGCCCTGCAAGCCCAGAGAATAAGCCCCTCCCCTGCTTTTCTGCCTTGTGGATGACCTGGTCTCGCTTGATAGCTCCTTGACTCTGGGTGACCTTGGGCCAGTCACTGCCTCTCAGCCTAACCTACCTCACAGGGTTGTTGTGGAGATTAAATGTGGAGAGATAGAACCGTCTATGCCCCCTTGAGGGTACATGGATGCTTAGATCATTTTTTAAAATGTGGAATATAAATAACAAAAGTAAAGCAATCACCTGTGCAGCGGAGGACTCCATAAATAGTTTCATGGAGGCAGGATGCTTCCCCCTCACATTACCTTGGAATTGAGTCTGCCTCCAACTAGGCTAGAGGCTCTAGACCAGAGCTTGTTTTCCTAGAGCTCATTTGGGCCCTTCAGCCACTTCCATTGTTTTCCCACCTCACCTTGCTTGGAATGCAGCTTCTGACTCTGGTTCTTCTTTGCTTACCCAATTTCCCCCTGCCTAGGTTCAAGCTGCTGAGCCAGGAGGAGGGGGAGTACTTCAACGTCCCCGTGCCCCCTGAAGGCGAAGAGGGGAATGAAGAGCTCAGGCAGAAGTTTGAGGTGAGCAGCCCTTCCGAAGGACCAACCCCCCAACATCCTTCCAGTGGGGAGAGAAGGAGGTGTGGGGATGTTCAGGGTGGCAGGAGAGGTTATATTGTTTATTAATATCCTTCCTAAATTGCCCTTTACTTAGCAGAGTTTACATTCCCCTTCTCACGCACAGGAGAAAGCTGGTTGCAGGCTCGTTAGAACCTCTTACTATTATGCCATCCAATCTGCCTCAGATTGAATTGCATGATCCTGGTAATATCCCCTTTTAAATCCCTCCTAAAAGAATAAAGACACCACAGTCTTATTCATAAGCAATAAGAAGAAGGTTTACTCATGATCAGGCAGAGCACAGTGTGATCCTGAAGGCAGGCTTTAGGCTTAAAGTTACAGTGGTACCTTGGGTTACAGACGCTTCAGGTTACAGAAGCTTCAGGTTACAAACTGCGCTAACCCAGAAATAGTACCTCGGGTTAAGAACTTTGCTTCAGGATGAGAACAGAAATCATGCAGTGGCAGCAGGAGGCCCCATTAGCTAAAGTGGTGCTTCAAGTTAAGAATAGTTTCAGGTTAAGAACGGACCTCCAGAACGAATTAAGTTCTTAACTCGAGGTACCACTGTTCAAGCATATACAAACAGGTTTACCACATATGGGAGATGACCTGGGGAGACTGCAAGCTAGCAGTCCAAGAAGTTTGCAGGACAAAAGGAAGATGGAAAAGAGAGAGAGTGGCAGCATGCCTTGGCCTTTTACCAGGTCTGGAAAGGTCACGCCCACCCACTAGTCACATGCAAGGAAGGATGCTCCAGGCCAGGAGGAACAGGAAGTTTCGACTGGCTGGACCAAACATGTCAACTCTGGCAAAACAAGGAATGTTGTATTTGACTGCTCCCAGTGGATTACATCCCACAGGAGGTTCACAAGTTGCAAGGTTTTCAGAGGAGCATAGCCAAGGGTCTGAAAACCAAGCCTGATGAGGAACAGTTGAGGGAGTTGGGTCTGTTAGCCTGGAGAAGAGAAGACTGAGAGGCAACAGGATAGCCATTTTCAAATATCTGAAGGGATGTTACGTTGAAGACGGAGCGAGCTTGTTTTCTGCTGCTCCAGAGGGGAGGATCTGAACCAACGGATTCAAATGACAGGGAAGGAGATTCCCACTAAACCTTAGGAAGAACCTTCTGATGGTAAGAGCTGTTTGCCACGGGAACGGACTCCCTCGGAAGGTGGTGGACAAGAGATGTGACTCGGGGCCACACTCCTCTAAAGTAAGGAACTGTGGACTTGCAGCACAAGACCTGGCTCTTAGCACCATGCTTAGAGGAACAGGAAGCTTATGTGTGATGCTTGGGATAGATCTGTTCCTTCATCCAGTATCCAATAATTTATTTATTTCAAAAAAATTATACTCTGCCTTATTGGGAAGAAAAACGTGGTTTACAAGAAAAATGAAAAGATACAACAATAAGATTATCAACAAGAAGAATTAATAACAATTTAAGACTTTCAAAAAGTTAAAATAACAATACAGTGGTACCTTGGTTGTCGACCACCTTAGTTATCAAACAAATCGGCTCCTGAGTGATCGAAACCCAGAAGTGTGTGTTCCAGTTTTCAAATGGTTTTTGGAAGCCAAACGTCCGGTGCTGCTTCCGTGGCTTCCAGTTGGCTGCAGGAGCTTTAGTTTCCAAACATTATGGAAGACTAACTGACTTCCGGAACGGATTCCGTTCGACTTCCAAGGTACAACTGTAGACCAAAACAGATTAAAACAGGCATCAACTTTCTAAAAAAACTGGGTAGGCTTGTCTAAACAAAGATGATTTTAGCAGGCACCAAAAAGAATACAATGAAGGTGCCTGCCTGCTATCAATCAGCAGGGAGTTCCAAAGTTCAGGTGCTTCCCACATTCAAAGATGGAGTTCTTACAAATGTGGAATGGGCATTATGTGGCACATGTGGACAGTGCCAGGTCTGCAGATTGAAGTGGTCAAGGGAGCACAGGTGCGGTAATCTGATCTCACAGGTAAACTAGTCCCAGGTTGTTAGCTCCAGGTGAAAACACCCCAGGGCAAGGGGATTCTGGAATGAATTGGACCCTGCTACTGGCTCTTTGCAGGGACGCGGGTGGCGCTGTGGTTAAAACCTCAGCGCCTAGGACTTGCCGATCGCATGGTCGGCGGTTCTAATCCCCGCGGCGGGGTGCGCTCCCGTCGTTCGGTCCCAGCGCCTGCCAACCTAGCAGTTCGAAAGCACCTCCGGGTGCAAGTAGATAAATAGGGACCGCTTACCAGCGGGAAGGTAAACGGCGTTCCATGTGCTGCGCTGGCTCGCCAGATGCAGCTTTGTCACGCTGGCCACGTGACCTGGAAGTGTCTGCGGACAGCGCTGGCTCCCGGCCTATAGAATGAGATGAGCGCACAACCCTAGAGTCTGTCAAGACTGGGCCCGAACGGGCAGGGTACCTTTACCTTACTGGCTCTTTGCAGGAAAGGAGCATTGCATCTGCCAATTTTACTCTGCGTTCCAGCTCTCCAACGGTGTTTTGGGTAGCAGAGGGAGCCTTGCCCCCCCCCACCAGGTGACACCAGAGGAAGCCTCTTTTGCAGCTGCCCTGCAAACCTTCTCTCTTGCGCTCGGAGCAGCTGCCCCAATTAAACCACTGGAATCGGCTTAATGGAATTTCATGCTAGGCTGAGCTCTGGGCAGGCTCCTCCAATGTGACATATTTTTTCAGACATTAAAACGAATAAATTGTGAGATAGCTCTGTCTCTGTGCGCGTGTGTTGTTTAACAAATTGTGCTCCAGTGAATTAGTTAGCCACCAGACTGCGGTGGGGAAGGGAAGGCTTTGCACGAGGGATGTGATTGTTCACCATTCTTCCGGCAAAGCTCCTTTTAAACAGTCGGCAGGGATTGGAAATTGCAAACGGAATAAGCATTGTTTGTCCCTTTTGCAAAGCAGGCTTGATCAACCAACATCCACATTGGACACACACATTTTCATTCAAACTTCTTTCAAAGGAGGAATCACCGCCTTTTTGCCATTGTGGGACAAGTCTTTATGTTCAAGGAAGTGTTGCTTTTCTTAAAAAAGAAAAGAAAAGAAAGAACTTGCAGCTGAGGATCAGTGCAGGATAATGCAAAGAGCTAGGATCAGTGCTTTTTTTCTTTAAAAAACTGTTTAGGGGTACTCACATTTCCCTACTCATATTGAAATACTGCCCCTCAAAGAGGCCAAACTTAGATCCACAAAATGTTTGGGTGTATGCTTACCCCTGCGTCCCGCCAGAAAAAAAGCACTGGCTAGGATCATGTGTACACGAGCTGCAATCATCATAGCATTTCTCCCCCAAATATTTTATTCTTGCCGCTTATTTATACAAGAAGCAGACATCAGTATTCAACCATCCTCACCACAGAAGCACCAAACGTCTCTTTAATTACGTTCAGTTTTTAAGTCATTGCAGTTTTTAAACAAAAGTATCATTTCACAAGTTGTCATGTGTTCTCAGAGGCCTTTAGCCATGTTCTCTTGATGTTGCATGTGCAATGAGAATATGCCAGGTTGACTGAAAAGTAATGATTTGCTTGTCTGTTCGGCTCTCTCGGATGCGGGTTGTCAGCGATCGTCAAAGTCTGAGTGAGCAGGGATGGAACAAGAATGTTTCGAGGTGAAAATTTGTACGGTGTATGAATGAAAAATCCGCCCAGGAGAGCAGGCACAGCTAAGTGCAGTCAAGGCTGCCTGTGAAATCATTTGACTTTGCATCCATGAGATTAGCTTGTATAGATCACTTGAATGGTCCTTTTTAATTTAATTCACTGAAGCTGCAGTGAGACTGCCAATCTCCTGCCATGATGGCTGTGACGGCTTAGTCCAAAATATTCGGGAAGCCAAGGTTATCTTGTATTTTCACTGCCCTTTTGGGGAGGGGAAGTAAATCAATAAATTCCTTTTTTTTCCCCTTAAGAGAGCCAGAATCGGCCCAGGAGCAAAGGCTGCAGAGGAGAAAGCAACCAATGCCATCTCCAAATTTGACAACAACGGCAGCCGCGATCGGATGAAACTGTCGGACTTCAATTTCCTTATGGTGCTGGGCAAAGGCAGCTTTGGAAAGGTGCGTGGCTGGATGCTCCCAGGACCTCTGCCTGGTCGGATCTCTCCTGGCTTCAAGAATGCTGGTTTAAAAGGTTCAAAAGCCCTTTTCTGCTTAGGAAGGCTTTTGGTGCTTGGGGAGAGGAGTGAGGCAATTAAATATTCTTTCTGCTGTACTGTAATCATTGTTGAGTGACTGTTTTAACTGATGATGCTTTGGGTTTTAATGGTGATTTGATGCTTGATTATGAATTTTCATACGAGTGGCTTCGAGAGCCCGGTGGAGCCTAACAAGGAGAATATAAATTTTAGAGCAAATGAATGAATATGTAGATGCATGGATCAATGACCTGACTCAGTGTAACGTGGCTTCCTGTGTTCGTATAAACTGCAGTCGTGCCACAAAGCTTTAAGATCTGATGGATCCTTTCACGAATAAAGTCTGGTGAGAATCCTAGTGCTGCAGCTACACGGCATAGACATTTTTTGTGGAGGCACCAGCCACAAGTCCGCACCACACATTTAAAGCACATGACTTCCCTCAAAGAATCTTGGGAACTGTAGTTCACCCCCTCACAGAACTACAGTTCCCAGCACCCTTAGCAAACAGCAGTTCCCAGGATTCTTTGGGGGAAGCCATGTGCAGGGATGGCCACCAACGTAATGGTTTTAAAAGAGGACTGGAGGTTAAGAGGGCTATCAGTGACTACTAGCCACAATGGCTATACTCTGCCTTTGCAGTCAGAGGTGGCAATGCTTTTTAATCCCAGTTGCTGGGAACTGCAGCATGGGAGAGGGTTCTTGTGCTCGACTCCTCCTTGTGGGTTTCCTGCATTAAACACACGAGACGTAAACAGCTGTACTTTTGAATAAATAAGGTATAATATTCATTGTGTCAAATTGTAGATTTCAACGGAAGTCTCATAAAGTTCAATGAAAAAAGCAGAAGACCCAGTGGATCAGTTCATTCTCTAGTCAGTTCATGCATAAGGTCCATACAGGTATCTATTCCACCTGTCTGTTCATAGAGTCCAATAATCCACATGAAGTGTTGTTACAGTTCCACAGAATCCTTTCACAGAGTCTAAGACAAGGATTTCCGGAATATTAGCCTTGTTTCACCATCCTAGGCTTCATCAGTAGAACTGGCTCCTATGTAATATTGCAGGATAGTGGATCTTATAGCAAGGGTCATCTAGCCCAGCTCCCTGCAACGCAGGAATCCTTTTGCCCCACGCAAAACTCGAACCCATGACTCCTGTCTCAAGTTCCACCAACTGAGCTATCTTGGTGTACGCAACCCCCAGTTCAAAGGTCAGGATAGGAATGTGAAGGGAAAGTCACGTTCCTGGTTTGAATGTGTCCTGGAGGCTAGGCAGAGAGGAGGAGAACAAGGAAGCAAGCTTGTATGAACTGCCCTTCTATCCTGAGGCCAGGCAGCACAGATCAGAGGACCACGGCCATTTTGCAGGTGGCGGTGGGGGAGCTTCCAAGATGATGTAAATCAGGGGTCAGCAAACCTTTTCAGCAGGGGGCTGGTCCACTGTCCCTCAGACCTTGTGGGGGGCCGGACTATATTTTGGAAAAAAAAATATGAACGAATTCCTATGCCCCACAAATAACCCAGAGATGCATTTGAAATAAAAGCACACATTCTACTCATGTAAAAACACACTGATTCCTGGACCGTCCGCTGGCCAGATTTAGAAGGTGATTGGGCCGGATCCGGCCCCTGGGCCTTAGTTTGCCTACCCATGATGTAAAGTGTCGCTGAGAATTCGCTGCACCTTGCAAGCTCTTTGGCAGCTATTTGACAGAAGCCTGTCAGGTTCCCATTCTTAGCTCTCCTCCATTCACTGATTCCCCCACCCCTGTTTCCCGCTGCTGGTAGAGCATATTTCAGAGAACAGCCTGACTTGGGAGCCAAGCAGTTAACACTCTGGCACCAGAGGCTGCATCTGCAAAATTAGCATTCCTCTCACTTAGCCGGAGAGAGTCAGGCAAAGCTAGATAGGAGTCTCGGTGGAGATGGCGCAAACCTGGCCACTGATTTTATTGCACTGGAAAGCCTCGCAGGCCCAGAGAGGGGATGGAGAGGGTCAATCAAATTAGAGGTTCCCGTCTTGTGCAAGGAAGGAGAAACAACAGCTGCTTTGAGAGTGTCTTCTGGGGCGACAGTGATGATGAGGACAGTGAGTCCAGGAAGACTCTTCTCTTTTCATTGCCCCTTCAGGGGGGGCAGTGCTATTTCTCTCTGCAACAGGACTAAGGGCTGAGAGAGGCTGCAGCACCAGCTTACAACCGTTTTCAAGGCAGCTCCGCCAATTGCACTCTTGCAATGGCCTCTTCCCCCCTATCTTCTGGTAAATTTCAGTTCATTGCACTTCTGTGGGAATTTGCAATTTTTTAAAAAAGGACCTCAGGGGAAAAAATGATCATTTTAAACCACTTTCCCCCCTAATGCACACTTTTTTGGGGGGGGGTGCAGTTTTGGGATATGTGAGACCAGGGTGCAGCACTAGTCGGCCCCCTTAGGGCTCTTCTGAGGCTCCTGCATTCTTACCTTTGTACCCCAAGTTGAATGCAGCTGCCTGGCAGGGCTTTCTGTCCAGATATATAATTGTAGACTTGGGAGGGACCACGAGGGTCATCTAGTCCAACCCCCGCAATGCAGGAATCTTTTGCTCAATTTGGGACTTGAACCCACAACCCTGAGATTAAGAGTCTCCTGCTCCACCGACTGAGCTTTGTCCAAAGCCGCCTCCTTCTTCCCTCGTGCAAGTTACTTCTCGTGAGTAAACTGTGCTGTACGCCAGTATCTCTCTTTGGGTGCCAAAGCATGGGGTTTTGTTTCCCCCCTATCTTTTGCAGTTGTGTGAAATGGTTTGGCTTTCCGCCTGCATGGCGTCGCACATTTGCAAGCTGTACAAAGGCTACTGCATGAAACATGGGCTGCTGTAGCAAGCCCTCGGGAGCCTCTCCCACCACCCCCCCCATTTAATTCTGCACTCCAGGAAATGGCTGCCTCTTCCTCTCTTGCAAAGGTTGCAAGGAGCGAACATCAGCCCTGGGCACCGTCTCCCCATCTGTTGGGAGATGTTCACCCTTCAGGAGCCAAATTCGATTGCCTGAGCAGCGTTGGGGAACCATTAGAGAATTATTTACAGTGACTGGAGCCTGCTCTCCGGGGACTGCTTTCATCTTGAAATATAATCGATTTTAATTTTTGTGTTTTACACTCCGGGGAATGTTCTCCCAACACATCCAATTTCTTTTTTGAATGTATCTCATTGCCAGACAGTCCAAAGACCAAACTGGACGTGATGAGTTTGGAACCTGCATGGCTCTTGGTACCAGCTTTAGGGTGGGACATCGAAAAGTGCTGATTTAGATTAGGGCTGCAAGGAGGGGGTTATATAATTCCACCCTCACCCAAGGTTATTTCCCCCATTAAAATCACCTCCCCACACACCGAAGCTGCCATCCAGTCCACAGGGCAAATGACTTATAAGGTGATACATGAAGTTTTTGTTCTGTGGGTTGTTGTCTTGGTTTGGAGTGGACCTCTGGCAGTGTATGTGCGTGTTTTAGGGCGGGGGGGGGGCAGAATGCTGAATTTCTGAATGATAACCAATGGCAGCGTTTTGCCCTCTTTTTGTATGTGCTGTAATGCTTGTTTTTGGTCACTAGGTGCCACTATAGAGCTGTGAACCGCTGTCTGCAATTCCCAAGCTGTACTTTGAACAAATTATTTAGGGGCCCACAGACAGCTCCAGAGCTTTCGGGGGCCCTTGGTAGGTTGCTGTACTGGGATTTCTCCTATCTGGATGGGTAGTTCCCTCAGCTGCACAGCCATCTTTGTTTTCCCATAATGCAATGCACTAAAAGATTGGCTCGTCTTTTCAATCTTAAAAATCTTTTAAATGATTTTTGTAGATCATGTAATCATAGAATTGCAAAGTTGGAAGGGACCCTGAGAGTCATCTAGTCCAACCCCATGCAATGAATGAATCCTGCCCACAGCTGTCCCTGGGTGGGCTCGAACCACCAACCTTCTGCTTAACAGCCTAGTGTACTGTCCCATTGTACCACTTCAAAGATCACTGAATATTGTCTTCTGTAGTTTTCAGAAATTTGCCTGGACTTTGGCATATTGATTTCATCTGACACTGTACAGTGGTACCTCGGGTTACATACGCTTCAGGTTACATACGCTTCAGGTTACAGACTCCGCTAACCCAGAAATAGTGCTTCAGGTTAAGAACTTTGCTTCCGGATGAGAACAGAAACCGTGCTCCGACAGCGCGGCAGCAGCAGGAGGCCCCATTAGCTAAAGTGGTGCTTCAGGTTAAGAACAGTTTCAGGTTAAGAACAGACATCCGGAACGAATTAAGTACTTAACCTGAGGTACCACTGTGTTAGATTTTTGTAGCTTTAAAGCAAAGATGCAGAACCTCTATGACCCTCCATATCTTGTCAGACTCCAACTCCCATCATGCCTCATCATTGACCCTGGTGGCTGCAGGGGCTGGCAGGAGTTCACAGAATCACAGAACCAAAGAGTTGGAAGGGACCCTGAGGGTCATCTATCCCAACCCATGCAGTGCAGCAATCTTTTGCCCAACCTGGGGCTTGAACCCATGACTGTGATTAAGAGAATCATGTGATGGATTCTTCAACTGTGATCCCTGCCTTGCAGAGGGTTGGGCTAGATGACCCTTGGGATCCCTTCCAACCCTACAGTTCTATGCTTCTGTGAACCCCTGCAGGGCCACAAGTCCCCCAGTCCCCACTGTATGGGATACTCCTAACCAGGCCTCCTCTGAAGTATTAAACTCAAGAGGGCTGACTCCCAGGCAAGTGGGGTTATTTTGCAGCTTTAGAGTTTTATTTTTCTTTCAGCATTTGTCTTTAACTTTTATTAACTTGTGGTGTTGAATATGGGAGTACTTGTGTTACCGAATGAATATGCAATTTCTGTGACTGCGTACAAATTGCCTATAAATAAATACGACTGCAAAGTAATTAGAATGCAAGAAGGGGGCACCAGGCCTAGTAGCCAGTCAGACCACATGAAGCATGAGACTTGCCCAGGTCAAAGGCAAGACCAGGAATCTGCTCTAGAGCTACCAGTCCAGAGAAGCAGATGAGCAGGCTCAGAGGTCATAGGGGCGGGCTGGATGTGATGTTGCAGATCGGAAGGATCCTGGGGCAGAGTAGATCAAAGTCAGGCGAGGTGGTCCGGAAATCCCCCCCTACCAAGGTGGCAATCGACTGTGTGGCAAAACAATCCATTTCCAGGGAATATGACGTCCATTTTGAACACCACAGGCCAGTGAGCAGGTTGGGGGGTGGGGGGAGGTGGCCGTGTTGATTTCCAAAGCAATACCACAACAAATTGAAGCAATGTATCTTAATAACTGGCAGGGTGTTGTTGGCATTTTTCGGGAGCCTTCCTTCGGCTTGATTTGATTAACGACGGAAAATTATGTTGGCAGGAAGCTCTGCGGCTCGGGTTTATTGTAATAAATAAATCTGCAGCTTGCCACAACTGGTTTAAAATATTAGGGGGACAAGTTATTCCACACAGGGGAAGAGGCGTGGGCTGGCTTGCAGGGCAGCCAAATGGGCAGGTGAGGGGTTGCCAAATGGGCATGGGTGAACTTCTTCAATCTCACTCACAGAAGGACAGGCTGGAGCAGTAGAGCACCTGCTTTGCATGCAGAAGTTCTTGGGTTCAATCCCCAGTGGCATCTCCAGAGAGATGTGGGAGGGAACCTGCCCGAAACCACGGAGAGCCACTGCCAGTCAGTGTAGACGGACCAATGGTGTGGATGAACAAAGGCTCTGACTCAGTATAAAGCAGCTTCCTGCCAACCTAGCAGTTCAAAAGCATGTCAAAGTGCAAGTAGATAAATAGGTACCACTCTGGTGGGAAGGTAAACAGCATTTCCATGCTCTGCTCTGGTTTGCCAGAAGCAGCTTAGTCATGCTGGCCACATGACCCGGAAGCCGTATGCCGGCTCCCTCAGCCAATAAAGCGAGATGAGCGCTGCAACCCCAGAGCTGGTCACGACTGGACCTAATGGTCAGAGGTCCCTTTACCTTTACCTTTTTCTGTTCCTGTGTCTTTTGGAAAGGACTATAGCTGAGAGCTGCTTTATTGGATTTTGAGTTGATTTTATATTTGTATTCTGCTTTTGCAACAACAAATGTTGTTGCAGCTCACAATATTCACCATAGCATTAAAAAAACAGCAAGCAATACAATCACTATAACATCAAGCATAGCAGCGTATAAGTAAAGCAAACAACGAAGGAATGAATGCAATTCAATAATGTCATAGTAATTCAAAACATCACACAGAGCTGCTGAATACCAGCCCTGTGCCAGATGGCATCCGAACCATGAGGACTAGTGTTCTGCAATACTTTTAGTGGGAAGCAGTAGCTCTGTGGTAAAGCACCTGCTGTGCGTTAATAAATATAAAATAAATTCATCGTTTTATTTGTACGCTGCTTTTCCACACACAAAGTCACGTTCAAAGGGACTTACAACCAAGACGACAGGAATGCATTCCGAATCAAACGCTGCAAAACAATTTTGTAATAACACAATAAAACAGCAACACAATAGCAAACATAACAACAGGCAAAACAACAACGTTTCAGGACTCTAGAAAGAACAAGATTACATTAATAAACCCGACCGCAAAAATGACAAGGCTGCTTGACAGTTCCACCTTGGTCCTAGGAACACCCCTCTCATGATGTTGCTCACAGTCCTTCTCCTGCAAGGCTTCCAAGGACCTCCTCACCCCTCCCGTGATGTTGTTACTTTGGCATGCAGAGTAGCAGCCAAAGCACCAGCCTAGGAGGTCTGCTCATTCTCCATCTCCCTTGTGACCACCTTTGTCTTCCTCCAGGTGATGCTCTCTGAAAGGAAAGGGACCGATGAGCTCTACGCTGTGAAGATCCTCAAGAAGGATGTGGTCATCCAAGACGACGATGTGGAATGCACCATGGTGGAGAAGCGGGTGCTCGCTCTGGCTGGGAAGCCCCCGTTCCTAACACAGCTTCATTCTTGCTTCCAAACCATGGTAAGGATCCCTACATGCTCACACACTTCTGCCCTAGATCCTGCACAGTTTCCAAACCAGCAGTTCTCACACTCCAGCCCCCCCACTCCCCACATGGACTACTTGAAAATTGCTGAGGGTCTTGGCAGACCACTTAATGGTTTTTCTGTCTGTTGAAGAAATTGCAGTGAGCTGTGCTGGATGCTAGGTGATTTGTAATTGAATCAAGATTAAATGCCTCCGTTCTAGCCTCCCATTAACTGTGCTGCTAATCCCCTCCACTCCTTTCAAGGGCCTCCTCCCTTACTCCTGCCATATCGCCAACAAACTCCCCTCCACCCCATCCATCTAACTCACCTTCTGGGCGGAACACTAGGTTCCAAGAACCACAGAGTAGCCACTGCAATCACTCATCTTCCCACAAGCACCACATGGTCCGTGGACCACAGTTTGGACGCCCCTGATCTCAGCTGAACAGAGAGCATCCTTGCCTTGATCCCAGGCAATGCCGCCAAGATCAACATGGAGGACAACATGGGGAACTGGACAACATGGGGAAGCTTAGGAGAGATGGGAGGAACTGTGTCTTGCTGGCAGGAAGAGGAGCTGGAGATGATATGTTGGGGTGCTCAGTAGATGGTGGGGGCTAAAAGGGAGCCCAGGGCAGAGTGGGTGGAAGGCAAGGACAGAGGCTGTGGCCATAAGGAGGACTAAAGAAGGGAAAGAGATGAAGAAGGGGCCACATGGTTCTACTGCCTGGGGTTGGTGGGAGTTGAACTCCAAAAACAGCTGAAGGGCACCAGATTGTGGCCATCTGCCCTAAAGCAATGAATCATCAGGAACATCCGGTCCGAAATAAACGGAGGCATTGGGGGGGACCGCTTGCAAAGGGAGCAGTCATTGCTTCCACAACTGCTTGGGGCTGGCTGCAGATAAGGAAGAGGAGAGGAGGCAGCGATAGGCACAGCGCAAGGCCCGTCCTTTCAGGCTTCCTACAATGAGCACGGAGGATTACACTGAAATGTCAGCCAGCCATTTGGCTTTGCAAAAGGCGTTTTGCTGCAGCGGCAGGCAAGTGGGGCTGGGCCCTTCTCTGCGCTCGCTAATGAAACTCCTGCATGCAGTGAAGCTTTTCCTTTTGCACGTCTCTCTTTCTGACATCTGAAGTGTGTCGGCAGAGGATTAGTTCCCGGAGACCTGCCTGTAGCTTAGCGGTAATCATATTGGTAACGTAATCAAAATTTGTAGCAGAGGGTATTATCAGGTGCTGAGTACAAAGCGCTTTGATTTGGAGGAGAGCAGTCTCAGCCAGAGCTGCTCTTCCCATTTGCTGGCAAGGATGAAAATCTCAAATCTTCATCTCAAAGGGAGAGAGAATTAACTTTTTTGCCCAGGTGTTTTGGGGCCTCTGGATTTGCCTTCCACCTGCTCCCGAGTGACCCTCCTGATCCTGCATAAAATGAGAGTGGATTAAATCTTTCTTCCCCCAAAAGGAGATCAGAGCCTCCACAGTCAAAACAAAGACTGCAGGGAGCTGGCTTCCCCTGAGACCTTGATTCATCTAGCTCAGTATTGTCCACACTGACTGGCAGCAACAGCCCTCCAGTGTGGAGATGGAGGAGGAATCGCCTCAAATCCCCACTCAGCTCTGAAGCTCGCTGAGTGACTGGTCACTATCTCTCAACATAGCCTACCTTACAGGGCTGTTGTGAGTGATAAAATGGGGGGCGGGGGCATGTGTGCTGACTTATTTGTTTGTTTATTTCATAAAAATTCATACACTGCTTGATTGTTAAAAAACAAACCCGCAACACAATTTACAAAAAGGTGAAGCAATAAATTTGTGGGGGAAGGTGAATACTTTAAAACATACAAAAAGCTTGAGCTGCTAAAAGGAAAGTCAGATCTGTGTTGCTGTGTATGTGCAACTAAACATATAGAGGCACCTGTGTGTTTAGCCCCATGGGACGTACAGCAGTTCCAGAATGGGCAATTTAGATCAAGAAAACAGACTTAACCCCCCTACCCCCACCTTACTCATTCATACACTTCTGCCTCAATCCAAATTACTCGTTCTCACTATTCTCTAACATATATATATAGAGAGAGAGAGAGAGAGTTTTTCATTAATACAGGTAGACACGGGTGGCACTGTGGGTTAAACCACAGAGCCTAGGACTTGCTGATCAGAAGGTCGGCGGTTCGAATCCCCGCAACGGGGTGAGCTCCCGTTGCTCAGTCCCTGCTCCTGCCAACCTAGCAGTTCGAAAGCACGTCAAAGTGCAAGTAGATAAATAGGTACCGCTCCAGCAGGAAGGTAAAACGGCATTTCTGTGCGCTGCTCTGGTTCACCAGGAGTGGCTTAGTCATGCTGGCTACATGACCTGGAAGCTGTACACCGGCTCCCTTGGCCAATAAAGCGAGATGAGCGTCACAACCCCAGAGTCGGTCACGACTGGACCTAATGGTCAGTGGTCCCTTTACCTTTACAGGGATCTGCTGACTGTTCTCTGGGTGATTTGCAGGACATTAGGGCCAATGGGGCACTGCCCCAACAACCCTACTCTGCACCCAGGCAACACCCTGGGTGCTGTCTTTCTTACAATCCATTTAGAGGGCGTCCCTGGCTGCCAGCTTCCTCCTCCTCAGTCTCAGTGTAGCTGCTTGTAGCACTCAGCCTCTGCTTGTCATTCGCTCTGGTGCCACCTGCTGCTGGCCTCCTTGCCTCCTGCCCTACTAGTCCCAATGGGCACTAGCCGCCTCCGGGCTTTTGTTACATTTCACGCCTCTCTTTCCTCTTCTCTCCTTCTCTAGGACCGCTTGTATTTCGTCATGGAGTATGTGAACGGCGGCGATCTCATGTACCAGATTCAACAGGTTGGAAGGTTTAAGGAGCCCCACGCTGTGTAAGTTGGATGCGCCCTGATATAAAGCTCAGGCTAAGAGGTCAAATATGGCTTGGGGGCCCCATGGGGCAAAGAGTCTCCCTTGGGTTAGGGGGGGGCAGGCAGATGGACTTTCTCCCTCCACGCTGGATGCCCCGTGCTGTAATTAGATAGCAAAGCTTTCCATTTCCAGATGCCTCCCTTCCTTATCACTCGTCTTCTCCTCTAATCTTTACTTGCAGGTTCTACGCAGCTGAGATAGCCATTGGCCTGTTCTTCTTACATAACAAAGGAATCATTTATCGGTAGGTGGGCATGCTTTCTCTCTCGGGCTTCTAGAAAGGCAGCAGCAGCAGCACCTCCCCTCCTGTTTGACAGGCGATTGGCATTGAGGGTGTGCATTCAAGGCTTTCCGCATGGGGACGTGGTTCCTGGTGCTCTAAAAAAGCCACCAGCTTGCCTTTCAGGTGGCCATTTGGCCCTCGTCCATGGAGTGCATTTCCAGCAAGCAGAGCCAAAGACTTCCGAGTGCCAGTGCCTTGCGAACAAATGTGGTGTTTTGTGTGTGCCCCCCCCCCTGGATTCTGTAGGGAAGCCGGCTGATCGAGCATCTTTGAGGCTTCCCTTTGCTCGTGGTCTTAAATCTCGGTTTGCTTGACAAGCCACGGCTGGCAGCTCGCAGTGCGGGGAGGGCCCGGCGCTGCCTCATCATTGACACATAAAGCTGGCACTTCAGAAGTGATTTGTCTGGAGTCTTGCTGTAAAAACCTGCCATTTGCTGTTTGGCTGCTAAACATTCCAGGACGTGGCTTTGGAAGGCTCTCGGCTGCTAGGGTGCCCAGAGCAGTAATCTATGCAGAAGGCATTATCCCTCCCACCCCTGATTTCCCTCCCCCCTTCCTCTTCTCTTTGAGTAGCGTTCCCCCCCACACACACAAAAAATGCTCAGCAGCCTTGGAGAATATCTAGCTCCCTCCTGTAAACAGCTGGCTGGCTCTGGGGAAAGCCACCAGGAATTGTGGGGAGAGAGAGACAAGTGTTTGACATTATAGCATATCGCACCACCACCCCAACGTTTGACAGATGAAAAATAAAGACGCTTTGGTATCACCTGTATTTATCATTTTTTAAAAAAGATTGCTGCCTAAGGCACATTTCTGAAAGCTCTGCTCTGCCTTCTGTATGCTGTTGTCTCTGTTTATTCCCCCCTGGCCTGTACCCCATTGAAGGCAAAGCTTTCTTCTTAAAGGTATAATGGAATGATGTTGTTGTCCCAGAAAATGGTGCCAAGAATTCAAAATCCATGTCGTTGGCTACTGCATGAGTGCAATGGCCAGCTGTTCCTGTCCATGTTTGATGTATCAGTTGCTCAATTTGTGGGGTGCTTCAAAATGCAGGGTTATCGCTACAAAACGCTGCTAAACAACTGCAAAACTTTTGGGGTTTGTAGTTAATGTTAAGTACAGTAAAGGTAAAGGACCCCTGGATGGTTAAGTCCAGTGAAAGGCGACTATGGGGTGCGGCACTCATCTCATTTTCGGGCTGAGGGAGTCGGCGTTTGTCCACAGACAGCTTTCTGAGTCATGTGGCCAGCATGACTAAACCGCTTCTGGCTCATCGGAACACCATGCCAAAGTGCATGGAAACACCACTTACCTTCCCAGCACAGTGGTACCTATTTATCTACTTGCACTGGTGTGCTTTTAAACTGCTAGGTTGGCAGGAGCTGAGACAGAGCAATGGGAGCTCACCCCGTCACGGGGATTTGAACCGCTGACCCTCCGATCAGCAAGCCCAAGAGGTTCAGTGGTTTAGACCACAGCATCGGCCTGTGTTTGATGTATCAATTACTCAGTATGTGGGGCACTGCAAAATGTGGGGTTTCACTGCACAACGCTGCACAAAAACTGCAAAACCTTGGCACAGGTTTGGTGGAGATTCCAAATTGTGGGGGTTCTTAGCTAATTTGCCTGCTGCTGTGCATGCAGGGGCCCTGGAGACAAGGACTAACCACCCATCCACCACTCAGAGATTTTACTTCTAGTGATGCCCAGCAGGGAGGAGATTCTGACTAAACGCCAGGAGGGTAAGAGCTGTTCAGGGAGATTGACAGTTCTGGCAGCCCTTGGGTGTGCATGTGGGGAGGGGAGTCCCCTCTTCTGTTTTGCAACTGCTGTTGCTTGATGAGAATTAAGAGCATTTTTCTCTATTAGTGGAGCAGAACAGACAACCTTGAGACTTGCATTCCCCCTGTGATTTTTGCCCCCATTGTTTGGTGGTGGTGGTGAGGGTGTTTCTGCCACATCAAAGGATCAAAGGACTGATCCTGAAGGAATTCATGCCTCATAAAGAAGGTGACGCCTGCGTGTTAGGGGGCAAATAAGTCCCTTCTTATTCCATCCCCCTAAAAAAGAACCATTATGGAATTGCAGGAGTCATTCCAGGGGTGGTTTGGGCTGGGAAGAAGTGGGATACCCAGCCTTGTCTGCATGCCATTATTCCATGTACAAGCTAAAAATACTGGGTGCAAAATTGCATGTTGTTGTTTTGTTTTTTAAAAAATCAAGTTTCTAGTCCATATGACTGATTGCCAATATAATGTTTAATCTTATTTGGGGGTGCATAGAAATAACTCATGCTTGTTTTCATTTATTTTCCCTGAGAAAAACAAAATTGCAGAATGCTTAAAATATGCATAGCATTTGTTTGGCTTTCATTACTGAACTGGACAATATCCTTTGGGTTTTGAAGCAATAACAGGGCAAAATAGCCAATGAATCAAGGAAATAACTGTAGACAAATTAAGTCATGTTTTAAACCCGTGGAACCGTTGTAGAAATGCCAGATAAATCTACAGTATGGCTGCAAATTATGCATTTTGTTTTTAGTTTCTATTATTTTTTAACTTTTCCGTGTTGCATTATGAGTGAGACCCAAAACAAGTTTTTAGATTCTAAAAGCTGAACATCACAAGACATCCAAACGAAAACAGTTATAAATTGGAACTAGTGGTCTAAATCCAGCACAAATTTATGTTTAGTTGTTGCCTGACTCTGTGCTGGTTTTCGGCCAGTGATGTAGCAATCAAACACACTAACAGCACTAAGCTATCACAATGAACTAGCCTTGCATGAGCCAGAAACCAGAACTCGGGTGGCCAGATGTCCTGTTTTGCAGAAGGCTGCCTGGTCCAAGTTCAGCTCAAAGAAAGGAGAGTGGTGGGTAGATGGAGTTGATGTTGCCCATCAACAGTTGAGGCCTGGAGAACAGACCAAACAGGACCCAACCTCACTGGTCAGCTTGCTTTCTGTTGTTCCAGAGGGTAGGACCCGAATCGATGGATTCAGAAGGCAAGAAAGGGAGGGTGAGAGCTGTTCAACAGTGGAGCAGACTCCCTCGGAAGGTGGTGGACCTTACTTCATTGGGGCTTTAACCAGAGGTTGGATGGCCATCTGCCAAGGATTCTTTAGCTGTGATTCCTTCATTGCATTTTGGATTAAATGACCCTTGGGGTCCTATCCAACTTTACAGTTCTAGGTTTCTAAGTCATGGAACTCAGTGGGTCATTCTTCTTCTTTTTATAGAGTTTTATTAACACTTTTCAGAATACAATAAAAGACAAGGTAACCTACACAAAGGGATGCGGGTGGCGCTGTGGTCTAAACCACAGAGTCTAGGGCTTGCCGATCAGAAGGTCAGCGGTTCGAATCCCCACAATGGGGTGAGCTCCCGTTGTTCGGTCCCAGCTCCTGCCAACCTAGCAGTTCGAAAGCACGTCAAAGTACAAGTAGATAAATAAATACTGCTCCAGTGGGAAGGTAAATGGCATTTCCGTGTGCTGCTCTGGTCCACTAGAAACGACTTAGTCATGCTGGCCACATGAACCAGAAGCTGTCTACGGACAAACACCGGCTCCTTGGCCTATAGAGCGAAATGAGCACTGCAACCCCAGAGTCATCCATGACTGGGCCTAACAGTCAGGGGTACTTTTACCTTTACCTGCCGAAGAATTGGTGCTTTTGAGTTATGGTGCTGGAGGAGACTCTTGAGAGTCCCATGGACTGCAAGTAGATCAAACCTCTCCATTCTTAAGGAAATCAGCCCTGAGTGCTCACTGGAAGGACAGATCCTGAAGCTGAGGCTCCAATACATTGGCCACCTCATGAGAAGAGAAGACTCCCTGGAAAAGACCCTGATGTTGGGAAAGATTGAGGGCACAAGGAGAAGGGGACGACAGAGGACAAGATGGTTGGACAGTGTTCTCGAAGCTACCAGCATGAGTTTGACCAAACTGCAGGAGGCAGTGGAAGACAGGAGTGCCTGGCGTGCTCTGGTCCATGGGGTCAAAAAGAGTCGGACACGACTAAACGACTAAACAACAGCAACAACAAATCTACACAAACAATAATAAAAAGAAAGGAAAAGAGATAGACGAATACAAGATCTTCTCTAGAAACGTATCTTAACTTTTTTTCCCCAGATGGAAAAAGATGTGTGTCCCCAGTTCTCACCTGGGAGCATCCCTATCTTCTCCCAGCCTCTCACACTGAGAGATCTCTCCTTCCCTGTATTTCACACAGGGTCCTTCAGACTGTTCATCAAGTGGATCTACTTAGGACGCATTTAGGTGTGCCCTGTAGCTGATCATGGGTGGAAAGCAATGGTTGCTGCTTTCCTGCCAGACCCAAACAAGCTCACTGCCACTTTCTTTGGATGCAGAAAAGGACCGCTTCCTCCTTCCCCTAAAAAGGGCTGTCTCTGCCCATAACTGCCGCCTTGCATTTGCAGCAGCAGATGGGTGAGTGAGAGAGTGAGAGTTCTCAACAAGGAGGGAATGATCTCCCCCTTTAAACTTGCCTCCTGGCAGTAGCAGATCATCCAAGGCTCCAGCAGTTCCCCTCCCTCTCCAAACACCTGCCTGTCTCCCCTAAGCCATCTGGGAGACCTCCTCCCTGCCCCGCCCCCAAATTTGGGGGTGTAGCTTTAGGGGTATGAAATCCAGCTGTCCGACAGCCAGGGATCCTCTGTGCTGCCTTCACAACCCAGCAGGGAGTTTGGAGAACTATCAGTTCACTTATGCAAAGCAGACAGTCACATCAGTGAAGGAGAAAGCTGAAGGATGGGAGGGTGACAGTGTGGCCGACCCTGAAAAAGAGGGAATGCGGAAATGCGTCACTCAAAAAAAAAAAAAACCAAGAGGGGGGGGGGAGGGCATCAATTTGCATACAATTTGCATGTGCTTGCAAATCTAAATGTGAAAAGTGCTAATCTAGATGTAAATTACATTTAAACAGAAATACACTAGGGACTGCCACAGTGGGGAACAAGATCCCCTTTTCCTGCTCTCCCTGTATAGGCTTATTTCTCCTTAAGTAGAGGTCACCCTCACCTAGTTGGCTTCCCTGTGAGATCCCTTCTAACAGAGGACTGGATCTGAGCACTGCAGTCCTCTTCCCTCCTGTGATTCCTAGCAACTGATATCCAGAGCCACGCTAGCCATATGCTCTAGGAGATGTCCTCTTTTTCACGATGAGAGTCATCATAGAGATCCATAGTTAAAAGTAGATGTCAGCAAATGTGTCCTCTTTTTTTTTTTTTTTTTTTGCTCTTCAAAATATAGCAACCCTACCGTTGATAGCCTTCTTCACGAATGTGTCTAGTTTGGGCCAGTCACTGCATCTTCTTGTTATGAATTTTGGAACTTAGCTATGTGCTGCGCAAAGAAGTCCCTGTCTGTTCTGAGTTGCCCAATACTCAATGGATGATTCCTTCATTCATTGATTTCCTGCCTGTTACCATAAGGTGCCAGGGTAGATTACAGCATTGAAAGCAATTAAAAACCACTTCCAATTAAGGTGGGTCCTAAAAACATACAGCCACAGCTTCTAGTCTTTTGAGACATGGAGAAAACTTTTCTCTTTTGGGGTTTTAGCTCAACTCGTGCATAATTTCCCCCACTTCCTTCGCTTTCCTCTTAGCAATCATTAATCTAAATTAAAAGCCCCAAACACTGAAGTCTTTCCTTTCCTTTCATTCTAACCCCTTGATCATTTTTAACATGATTTTAATTTATCAAAAATGTGCTTAGATTGCTTAAAAATGTTTTCTATTGCTTTAAATATATTTTTATTTTTAATTGTTTTGTTTTATCACTTTGGGGTTTGCCTCCTTGGGCTCCTTTTGGAGGAAGTGCAGAATAGAGATTTAATTGATAATAATAATAACAACAACAACAACAACAACAACAACAACAACAACAACAACAACAACAGTTTCGGTTGCCTATTTCCGAACCAGCTCTACAGCATTCTTTTCAATGTGTAAAGCAGCCAGATCTGCGCACAGCATTACAAGTGCGGTTACACCGTGGCATTATGTTTTAGGAGGTTTGATTTTTGGTGCATGCTTTTTCTTCAGAGAAGGGATTCCTGCATTGCAGGGGGTTGAACTAAATGACTCTGGGGAGCCCCTCCTAGCTCTTTTGTAGTAGTTTGGAGTTACTCGTGCGTAAACCGACCCCGTTTGGGTGCTTGGTTGCCTGGTTAAATCCTCCGGACTGCACAGCCCATCTCCGCTTGACTGCTTCAGTCACTGGCAGAATCTGTCTGTGGGTGCTTCTTGAACCTCTGCCAACATAAAAGCTGTTTGACCCCCAATCGTCTCCGCCTCTCATTGCGCGGGAGTCTCCTGCGCAGGGTGGGCGTGGGTAGCGGGGTGCCTGGGCTCTCTTCACTGACTTCCAGGGAAGAATCTCGGAGCCCTTCCACCTCCTCCTCCCCTTGCTCTCCTGGACTCTTGGTGTAACGTGTATTTCCTTCCCCTTCCACTGAGCTGAGTCTCCCCCTTGTGCTGGGACCTTCACCTGCAGAGTCTGAGACCCTCTCCTTCTCCCGTGTCTCTGATGTCAGTTCCCTGACATCTTTGATTCTACGTGCTTTGCAAAGTTCATAGATGTGCAGCTTTCAAAGGGTAGCTGGGTGTGTTTTGTTTGCTCAGCAAATTGCCCTTCTTGAAAAGATAGCTCATGAACTTAAAAGTATCCAAAGGGCAGAGCTTGAATGACCATGTATAAAAAATAAATGGCATGGTTTTATTTCTTATACAAATATTAAGGCACCTGGTCACTAAGTGCCTCCAGTACATGCAAATGTCTGGCTCATTTAAGCCTATCTAGAACCTTTATTCTCCGCTCACTGTATAAATCTTTTATTCATGGGTAGGCAACCGAAGGCCTGGGGGCCGGATCTGGCCCAATCGTCTTCTAAATCCGGCCCGCGGATGGTCCTGGAATCAGCGTGTTTTTACATGAGTAGAATGTGTCCTTTTATTTAAAATGCATCTCTGGGTTATTTGTGGGGCATAGGAATTCATTCATTATTATTTTTCAAAATATAGTCCGGCCCTCCACAAGGTCTGAGGGACAGTGGAAAAAGTTTGCTGGTCCCTGCTTTTATTATTTTGTAAAGAAGAAGAAGAAGAGTTTGGATTTGATATCCCGCCTTTCACTCCCTTTAAGGAGTCTCAAAGCGGCTAACATTCTCCTTTCCCTTCCTCCCCCACAACAAACACTCTGTGAGGTGAGTGGGGCAGAGAGACTTCAGAGAAGTGTGACTAAGGTCACCCAGCAGCTGCAGGTGGAGGAGCGGGGAATCGAACCCGGTTCCCCAGATTACGAGACTGCCGCTCTTAACCACTACACCACACTGGCTCTCTTCATTACTTTATTAATTTATTAATACTTTATTATCCTTTTGGAACCACACTGTCCTTCCAGGTTGTGGCGTTTTATGGTTTACGTTTTGGAGTCTTCATTTCCTTTTGCCATGCTTGCACTTTTGCTGTCATTTGCAAATAAATAAACAACAACAATAATAAAATAAAAAGCTTGCTCAGCTCAAGGGGGTGGGTACTCTCATTGTTGGGGGTTGCCTTCTCTGCTCTGTCCCCCCTTAAACTACCTGCCAGCCTTTTCTACCTTCCTCCATTAGGCTTTCATAACCACAGTCTGTTTTCAATGCTGCAGCGACCTGAAACTTGACAACGTGATGCTGGATTCTGAGGGGCATATCAAGATTGCTGATTTTGGCATGTGCAAAGAGAATATCTGGGATGGCGTCACCACCAAGACTTTCTGTGGCACTCCAGACTACATTGCGCCCGAGGTGAGTAACAGAGAGAGAGAGAGAGAGAGAGAGAGAGAGAGACCCAGGTCCCCTTGCTTTCATCCATTGAACTTGTTTTAAATTTTATTTTATTTTTTTATAATATTTTTTATTGGTTTTCATCAAGAAAAATACACATCGCACCACATTACAACTTTAACAAATTTTTCCATTTTTGGACTTCCTTCAGCCTCTCTGATAATCATCCAAATTAAACTTTTTAATTACACATTTCCTAAATTTACTATTGCCTTTTAACATACCCTTCCACATCTGTTTTTCTTTTTTGCAATATTTCTTAGGTTTGAACTTGTTTTAAATTTTAAAGGTGCACACACATAGCGGACACACACTCCACAGAAAGCTAATTCTCCACCTTTCAAAACTTAGGAAATATTCCCTGAGAAAAATACACTTAGTGCACAGAACAATCCCCAAAGCCATCTTGGAGAAACCTTTCCCAATACAGCGGTACCTCTGGTTACGTACTTAATTCGTTCCGGAGGTCCGTCCTTAATCTGAAACTATTCTTAACCTGAAGCACCACTGTAGCTAATGGGGCCTCCCGCTGCGCCACTGGAGCACAATTTCTGTTCTCATCCTGAAGCAAAGTTCTTAACCCAAGGTACTATTTCTGGGTTAGTGGAGTCTGTAACCTGAAGCGTATGTAACCTGAAGCGTATGTAACCCGAGGTACCACTGTAGTTCTTTTCACTTACCCTTCAAATCTGACCGAAAGATCACATTTTGTGTATGAATAGGGGAGATCTGTGATGATGCTTTCAGAACTTGGGGTATTTACAATTTCAAAAAGAATGATCCAGACCAGCCAAGGTGGGGCGATTGCATGGGCATAGCCTGGAAGGGGGGCAGGGGGGCAGCTGCCCCCCCCCCCAGATCAAGTAAAATAATAGAAATACTTAACTGATCAATCATGTCAGTTCTGCCCCCCCCAACAAAAGTCCTGCCCCTCCCCACAAGAATCCTGGCTATGCCCTTGGGCAAACATTATCAGGTATCTTGACAAACAGGAGACAGGTCACACTCTCAAATTTCTGTTGTAGACTGCCTCTTTCTGTGATGTGCGTGTGATGCTTTTGGGTGGTCTTTGGCTAAGGGGTTGGGCAATTTCTAAAGTCTTTAAAAGGATACAGGGGTCTCTGTTGCAACATGAAAATAAAGATCTTCCTTGCTTTCCTTCTACTGGTTCATGCCTCTGTCCATTCTTCTCTGACCGATCATGGACTTAGGGGACTCAGAGTCCCTTGGGGAGTTGGGCTATAGAAGCCAACCCCAAATTTTTCTACTACAATCTCTACTCTTGAGTATGACATGTGTTGGATATCACCCTTAGTATTAATACGATTCCGTAACTTTCGGTTTTTTTAATATATAGTTTAGGCAAATGCTGTTTGTTTTAAAGGCCTGGGCTTGAAGAAATCTTAATCAATGCATCAGTTAAATTTCCATAAGTGCTCTGAAGGAAAGGAGCAGGCTTGCTTTATTTTTAGCACCTTAACAAGCCGTTACCAAGGGAATAAAGACAATTGATCCTCTGCAACAATTTAGTGGATGCTTAAATTGTTAGAAGTTACAGCCCATGGTCTCCTTATCAAAGCATGTGTGCTTGATGAACATCAAAGTTCTTTTTTAAATGAGTTAGAAGCGCCAAGATTTTGGCTGCAGAATCACAAGTTGCTCTGTGTAACTGGGTCTGTGGCTCAGGGGCAGAGTACATGCTTTGCATGCAGAAGGTCACAGGTTCAATCCCAGGTGTCTCCAGGTAGTGCTGGGAAAAGACTCCCACCAGAAACCCTAGAGAGCCACTGCCAGTCAGTGTAGACACCACTGATCTGGATGGACTGTTGGCCTGACTCTGGCCTGCAGTATATTGTCTACACGGGCTGGCAGCTCTCCAGCAATTCAGGCAGGGAATCTTTCCCAGCCCCACCTGAAGACGCTAGAGATTTGTCAAGGGGCTGACAGGACGATCAGGTCATTCACAGGTCAGAGAGGGAAATGCGAGGCTAACATGCAGTTCAGTTTCTTTATTAAGGAAAGGGGAAAAATACAAGAAGGCTCATAAGGGTAACACCACCCCCATGAAGAAATTGCTCGAATTGGTGTGCAGCCTCTCCTTCTGTCTCTACCCCTTTGAGTCAGGGCTCCTCTCTTGTAATCTTCTGCTGCAGCAAACCCCAGGAGCCTCTCTCTGTGCCTGTCTGGCCCGTTGCTCAGCAACATGTAACATCCTTTGCGTTCTGGGAGTCAATGGGGCCAGAGAGCCTTCAGCTGAGAGGCTGTTCTGTTGGTGCTATGGGAAAGATGCAGGGTCTAGCTCCCCTCTGCCATCTCTGTTGGAGCCTGCATCCAACCTGGAAACCTCATCACCCTGCTCTGTGTTGAGTCACCTGCCTGCTTCTGTCTCCCTGTGATCCCTCATGCTTCCTGCTTCTAGTATCTCCCAGCTTGTCCCCTCCTCTGAGGTGTGGCCAGTATCCCACCACCAGGATCTGGGATCTAAGTCTTCTTCTCCTGTGCCCTCTCTGGGGGGCTCTTGGCAGGCAGCTCCCAGCACTCTTCCTCATCCAGCCAGTCCCTGGCAAGATTGAACCTGCGATCTTCTACATGCAGAGCAGGTGCCCCATCCCCTGAGCTATGGAAGATAGCTGTGATTCCTGCACTGCAGGCGGTTGGACCAGATGACGCTTTGGGTTGCTTCCAATTCTACAGTTCTGTGATGGGAAGACAAAGGAAGCTGCCTGATGCTGCTCTGTACCGGATCTCTCCTATTTGTCATTGGGTCTCTGTTTTAGGAAGCTGCCTCATACCCAGTCAGACCATGAGTCCAGCTTGCTCAATATTGTCTACATGGATTGGAAGCAGCTCTTCATGGTTTCAGACCAGGGACTTTCCCTGCCGTACCTGGAGGTGTTTGAACCTGGGACCTTCTACATGAGAGCCCAAAGTCCACCACTGATGAATTTATGGAACGAAAGTGGCAGGGCTCAAAAAGATTTGGGAGCCATGGCTCTAAAGATATGGAGTGCTGCAGAATGTTATATTGATATCCATGGCTGGTAGCATATCAGGACATCGCTCCTCTCTTCCTGTCTCTCTGAGGAGTGCCTGTGAATGCTAAACCACTTTGTGTGTTCCTCCTTCCCAGGGAGATGTTTAATTACTAGGCTAATGTGCGTTATTTTCCCCTTGTTCTGCCAAGATTAATATGGGAGCCTGGCCAGCATGTGGCTGGATCTCTGCACATGATTAATGCGCTTTCAGAGTAGAACAAACCATCATTCTCTCCCCCTCCCTCCTCACCCCCCGCCTTTGGTCAGCAACTGGGCATCATCTCCAAAGTGCTTGTTTTCTTGGCTTTTAATTCATTGTTTTTACTTTGGAACGAACAGAGAACAAAACCACAGACTGCGGTGTTTGTGAAAGTAGATGCGAAATTGGTATATAAGCCACCTGGAGCAATGTGCAAAAGGGACCTAGGAATATTTAAAGGAACTAACTAAATTACAAACTTTGGCCTAGCTTCTGGAATAATGCCATACTTACGCTGTCTCCAGTCCAGTGCTGTGAAGCTCAAGCAGAATGCCCTTGATGGGCGCAGACTCAGATCTCCCAAACCTTTGCATCAGGTTCAAAAGGACACTTAGTTGTGATTCCTGCCTTTCAGGGGGTTGGGCTAGAGCAGCCTTTCTCAACCTGTGGGTCCCCAGATGTTGTTGAACTACAACTCCCATCACCCCTAGCTAGCAAGGCCAGAGCTCAGGGATGGCGGGAGTTGTAGTCCAACAACATCTGGGGACCCACAGGTTGAGAACCGCTGGGCTAGAGGATCCTCTTTGTTTCTTCCAACTATACAATTCTGTGACTCATTGATCTCATGTTAGTCCTATTCAGAGGAGGCCCACTGAAATCAATGCAGAGGGGTAACTTGGAGCCATCCATTTCAAGGGGTCTGCTCTTGAGGAGAACATGGTTGGTGACAACCCTGGGGATCTGAAAGGTTGTCAAATGATGGGATCTCTGCCAACATTGGACCAACACTTTAAATGTGTTTGGGATGAGAGGGTTTGTGGTGGTGGGCAAGTAGGCAACTACTCCAAACCCTGCCGTAGATTGGAGGTGTAGGGACTAGAGACAGAGGCAATTATAACTCCCCATCAAAGGTTTTCCAAACTGCACATCCTTCAGTTCTCTTCATTCATTTCAGTGGAGAATAATTGTTCTGATACACACAAAAGAGTGGTCCATTGTTCCTCCAACATCACAGATGTGCCCCCGAGATGAAGGCAGCCAGGAATAACACTTTGCAGCAAATGAACAGGTTTTGCACTTCCGAGCATGAGTGCATCTCATGCTTCCCCTTCCCTTGATCTCATTGATTCTGGGGATTTCTCCTTGGTGCCAAAATGACTATATTGAGTGCTAATGACAGCCAGGAGTGCAGCAAGCTCCATAAACTTTTATCTGGGCTGTTTGGAAGGATTAAAGCTTCACACCCCACTGGTGTACAAACAGGCCTGCATTTCCTACAAGTGCTTCTAATGCATTTTTCTCCGGGGTGGGCAGATCTGCACCTGGTTTCCCCCCAAGGCTAGAAAAGAGGCAGGAAATGAGGAGGTGATGATGCTTCACACCTCTCCTCTTCCATCCTTGCTTGGCCTCTCCATGTGGCCTGGACAATGGAGTTCCCTCAGTCCAATCTAAGCTGGGTGGATTCTATGAAGGTCCAATTTAGTACAGCTGCTTCATTAAAACAGCTAGAACAGGAGGCATGAATGTATGGGGACCACACTGCTGTTCTGCCAGTCATGGGCATAGCCCGGGGGGGCAGAGGGGGCAACTGCCCCCCAAATCAATAAAAATCAATAAAATGCATAGCAAACTGAGGTTCTGCCCCACCCTAAAAAAGGCCTGCCCCTCCTAAGAAAAGGTATGCCCCCCCCACAATAATCCTGGCTACGCCCATGCTGCTACTCCAACAGAAAAACTTTGCAGCTGGCCAGTCCAGAGGTTGTATGGTGCCCTCTGAGATCAGAGTCCAATGTCAAACAGTTCTGCTGCCTTCTGAGTAGAGAAGCTGGAGAATCCCAGTGGGAACAGGAGCAGAGATTGCTGATGTTCGTTTATTCATCCCATGTTCAGAACAGAAATCAATCTGGCGAATACAATCAGTGTTTGCTGCTGTTGTTTACAGTCCGTGAATGACACATAATTGGTTATTCCCCAACCTATTTACATTGTGTTTCCTTTGCACTGAAATGAATGGTGTTAGGGGATGCAATTAATTACAGAATTACGTAGAATTGCCCCATTGGTTGATTGGCATCCATCTGTCTCGGGAGACAATGGAGGAGTGCACCTTTGGGGGTGAGGTCAAGCTGTTGGAATGTTGCAGAGCCTGCTGTGTCCATAGAGACCGATGCGGGAGAGACATGTTTTGTTGCAGCTGGGGCATGTGAAGGTGCCCAGTTTTGTGGCTGCAGATGCACCATGGCTTCCTTCTCTCTGAGCTCCTCCCAACAGCCGTTTCTCCTCTGGTCACTGCTATGGATATACAACTTGTCTCTCCAGGGACTGTGGTTGTCTGCAAGGGATCCTCACATGGCAGGGTTGATGTGGCCAGCCTTCATGTCATATTTGCAGACACCCTTGTGGTGCAGAGTTGGTCTGCCAATGGGCCTGGTGCTTGAAGCCAGTTCCCCATAAAGTATATCCTTGGGGATCTTCCATTCTGTAGACATGATCAAGATGTTCCTGAGACAGGAGTGCGAACATGCTGGGAATGTGGTCTTGGGAGAGCACATCTTTGTTTGGACTTCTGTGCTGCTATGTGTTACCCATAATCCTCCTGATGCAGTGCATGTGGAAGGCATTGGGGTGTCCCTCCTGACAGTTGTAAGCTGCCCACGACTCATTTCCATAAAGCAGTGTGCTCAGCAAACAGGCCTGGTGAGCCATTGCCATAGTTGCCTTGCCAATACACCTGTCCAGCTCAGCATTGATGGAGGGAATGCTGAAGGGAGATGAATAAGGTCATTTTTATCAGAAGCAAAACAGAAACAAAGCAGCATGCAACGAACAGAGGACGGAACGGAAACCAATGCCTTCTCCCAGCCTTACTTCTGAGCTTCATTGAGGCCTCCCCCTGCCAACACCTGCAGGGTTCAAATCCCCACTCAGCTGTTACCTTGGGACAGTCAGTATCTCTCAGCCTGACCTACCTCGCAGGGTTATTGTGAGGGGAGGCAGAGGACCACGTACACCACCTTGAGCTCCTTGAAGGAGATGGGAGGTAAATGTGATGAATAAATAATGGAAAATAAAGGTTTGAGATGTCCAAAGCAGTTGACCCGAGTCTCTGCTACAAATCGCCCAAGGAACTGCAGGGCAGAAAAAGAGAGTTATGTAAGTGGAGAAGAAATCGCAAATAAGCAGCAAGAAATCAGACAAAGTTTTGCCAGGAAAACATATTAAGGGCCAACACAGAATGCCCCAAAGCACGCAAAAGGAGGAGGAAGAGCCTGCATTTTGAAGGACTCTGCCTTCTCCCCCATTTGTTTGCCTCGTTTAAGCGTATGGGGTTTGACAAGCCCGAGGCACTGCCATCTGTTACTTAATGCAAAACCGTTTCGTCGTTTATTCATCCTAATTACAGATTTCTATTCCGAAAAGATTCATATATTCAAACATAAATGCAAATCGCACGGTAATTGCTGAAAAATATACACAGCCTCGATCGTCTTCATCACCAAGAGAAGCTTCTCCCAGACCATTCATCGCGGCCCAAAAGCTCTGATCTGGGCACAAGAGTTTGACAGCTGCATGGAGTACTCTAGTTCTCTCTCGAAAAGAGGCAATATTTCTCCCAATGGGAACTTCCTTGCACAATGGCAAGGAAATGGGGATCCTCTGTGGGCACTTGAAGTGGCCTCACCAAACTCAACCATTTGTCCACTCTGGGCAAATGAGTTAAAACAGTGGATTTTCACATTCGCCCACCTCCAGCTCCTACCTTCACCCTTTCAAAATCATATTGTGATCCATTAACATTTCCTACATGAACACCCATATTGCAATTTATGTGACAGGCAGCACCAGGCCACAGACACATTGCAACAGGAAAGAGAGAGATGAAATTAAACAGAAAATAGAAACGCCTGCCATATTGCATGATCCCAGACGACCTGCTTATTGGGCATTTGTACTGATTTGCTTGCAGGGAGGTTAGACGATTTTGCATCAAAGCCAGTGTACTCATCCCACACTTTCCAGTGCATTTCACTGTCACTTTTCTTGTTGGAAAAAGTCCACTCTTTGGGGAAAGTGGGGGGTTTTGCACAAGACCTCCCAATCAACAATACTTGCAAAACCTGGATTTACTAGTATGTGGTTGAATCACACTGAGAAGCAGCGGCAGTCTGGAAGCACACAGTTTTGTGGGCAGGTGGGCAAATGACAGGGCTGGCCATGAAGCAGGCTGAAGCAGTGGCTTCAGGCAGTGGAAGTCCCCAAGGTGGTGCCCCCATGGGTGACCCACACATCCCAGCTCCACCACCAGCAGAGAAGCAGCACCAGAATCAGCACCGATTTCTAGGGAAAGCTCGCCGAAATCTCACAACATCTTATGGAGCGTGATGGATCTCATGAGATTTCATGGGATGTTGCCGGAAATCGGCACTGATGCTGATGGCAGAGGCAGCGCGGTGGGCTGTGTGGCTGCAGTGGTGGTGGACGTGAATTGCCCATTGGTCTTTCACAAGAAAGGAGGCTGGAGGTTCAGGAATGGCTCAGGTCTTTCTTGATAAGTGTCTAATCCTATTGTTTGTTTGCAATCCCTGGGAAGTCAGCAGGAAATCTGCTTGTTGTCGCTGCACCAGTTAGAATAATTTTTGCCTTGTGACAGACAGTGGGCCAAAAACTCTGTGTGTGTGTGTGTGTGTGTGTGTGTGTGTGTAATCCTGTAGCTCTGATGTTGTTATCAATGTCTTGCAGATAATCGCTTACCAGCCCTATGGGAAATCAGTGGACTGGTGGGCTTTTGGTGTCCTTCTCTATGAAATGCTGGCTGGGCAGGTAAGGAAATCAGACTAGGGTTTTTGGGGGGGGCAGAGGTTGTGGGGTTTTCAGTGAGGTCCAAGGGATTGAGCACAACCCAGATTCTGGAATGGCCTGTTTGGTTAAGCTTGTGGAAGGGGTGTGTGTGTGAAGTAAAGACTAACAGCGTTCCAAGCTGGGGATTGAGGGCTGGTGGTCAGTGTCTTGTCCCAGCCAAACCCCCAGCCTGTCTCCAAGTCTGGATGGGACACAGCATCACGATAAATGGGGGTTGTGTGCTGGTTGCCTGACTTCTGGGTAGAATCCCAGCAGCATCGTTGGGTAAGCGCTTCGGACTGTCATTAGTTGCTTTGCAAACTATGCAGCCACCTGTAGACTTGAATTCTGAAAGGGAAAAGGGGGAAAGAGATAAAGGAGAAATTAAAAGGAAAGGTTAAGGAGGATCAGGGTGCATCAGTTGGAGAAAGAAGGGGGAAGCATGTACATGCCACCTGGTCTGCTTACTACATTCTACTTTGCCCGTTATATCACCTGCCCTTCTTTCACCAATTTGGTGAGCTCCAGATGTTTTGAACTACAACTCCCATCACTGGCTGGGGCTGATGGGAGCTGCCATCCAAAACATTTGGAAGGAATCAGGTTGGCAAAGTCAGTTCTATGGCCTGCAGACAGCTCCCTATCTCCGTGATACAGAAATGGATTGCAGCGCACCAGAACCGAGTAGCCCTAAAACTTTTCCTCCTTCTGCTCCCCAATGCTGTAGGCACCGTTCGAAGGTGAAGATGAAGACGAACTCTTCCAGTCCATCATGGAGCACAATGTAGCCTATCCAAAATCTATGTCCAAGGAAGCAGTGGCCATCTGCAAAGGGGTAAGAGCTGCTCTGGGTGTGTTGGATGCACAAAGAGGCGGTTTACGTCTGAGTAATAATACCAGTTGCTGGGAAGCACAGAAGGGGAGAGTGCTGCTGTTGCACTTGAGTCATGTTTGAGGACTTCTTACTGAAGCATCTGGTTGGTCACTGTGAGAACAGGATGCTGGGCTAGATGGCCCTGATCCTTTGGCCTGATCCAGAAGGGCTTTGCTTGTGTTCTTCATACAAGGTAGCAACTTGGCTTCGGATGTCTGCCATCATCTAATTCACAGGGTCAGGAAGATTCTGGGCTGTAGAGAGGTTATCCTAATTTGCCTGCAGTCTCCTTTTCAGGCTACTGAGATTGCTGCAGTGTGCATGTTCATCTGAGAACAGAAACCATGCAAGGGAAAGCCAGCAATGTTTCCAGTATTAGCCGTTACTCCTCCATTGCAGCTGGTTGGGCTAGATGACCCTTGGGGTCCTTTCCAACTCTATAGTTCTATGATTCTATTGTTGTTTCTGTAGTCCGCAGATGTTACATAAATGATTACATTATTTTCTGCATTGTTTTTGACATTTGCCTTCCACTGAAATGCACTGAAGCTAATTCCATAATTAATTGCATTAGCTTCATCTGTAGTGGAGAGTGAGAGAGTTGCAATAGTTTTGATTCAAAGCTGAACTGTAGCTGAACAGAAACAGTACTGACTGCAATGAACCCAGGACAGGACAGAAATTGCTGCCTTCTCAACATCTCTAAGGCTTTCTGATTTGAGAACCAAGTTTACTTGTGTTGGGCTGAGCCCATTGACTTAAATCAGGGCTATGGGTCTTCTGCCCAACTTCCTCCCTGAGCAAAGGATGGCTGTAGTTCTGCAGCCCATCTAAGTCAGGCCAAACGGGGCACACGTTTGGCATAATTTATTCTCCTTCTGCTAGCAATCAGAGATACAAAGGGGAATCTGACCTTGCCTTTTCACTGCCGGAAAACTGCTGAGCTCTCCTCTGGCTTTGGAGACTTCCGCACACAGTGTAAAGGCAATTTTTGCAAGCAGAATGTGATTCTCCCTCTTGAAAAAATTAATCTCGGGCTGCACAGGGCCCTGAATGTCAATTTAACCTCAGGATTGATCATTTGCATTGCGTGCATCATCATGTACTGTTTGGGATGCGTGGAGGAGAGGGCTCCAGGCTAACAACTGGGATTATTCCCTGGGGCCCATGGAGCATTGCTGGGGGCTGAGGCTACCTCGTCAATTTGCCGCTTTCCATCTCTGATGTCCTCTTTGCTTGCCTTGCCATTTGGCCAAAGTGCTGCGTGTTAGATTGGAGGAAAAGTTGCTCAGCTGCTCCAGGTTTAATGGGCCACAGATGGTGGGAGGGGGAGGAAGGTACTTTTCCAGGTCACCTGGGAGTTGACTTTGCTCTGAAAGTGTGTCTCAGTGTTCCTGTTACTTCAGCCTCCTTCTCCACCTCTGAGGCATTAATTCCTCTAACCCTCACACTTAAACATCAGCGGTGTTCTGACTCTTGTCTGATATGACCCTCTTTCTTAAAAGCCAAGGCAGAGAAGGTGCTGGATCTGCTCAAAATGGTCTTTAACCTCCTTCCTGTCAGCACCAGCACCAGCATATCCATAACCCAACAAGCTGGAAGGTGAGCAGAGGAGGGCGACCAAGAGGATCAAGGGTCTGGAAACCAAGCCTTATGAGGAATGGCAGAGGGAGCTGAGGATGTTTAGCCTGGATAAGAGAAGACACGGGTTTGAGCCCCACACTGGGCAAAAAGACTCCTGACTAGATGACCCTCGTGGTCCCTTCCAGCTCTGCAGTTCTATGATTCTAAGTCTGAGAGGTGATATGAGAGCCATCTTCAAATATCAGAAGGGCTGTCACTTGGAGGATGGAGCAAGCTAAAACAGAAACAGAAACAACAACAACAAAATGATACACAAGGGGAGAAGGACTGGGCAGGAAGGAGAAAATCCAAATCTAAACTCAGGCACTGATTTCTAAACAGTTGCTCCTGTCATGGCCACCTGGGGCAAGAGTTCAGGGATAGGAGGTTCCTCATGGAGCTGGGCATTTAGCAAAGCTGATGCAATGGGCTTTGCTCCCCATCTCTCTTGCACTGAGGCAGTCTGCCAGAATGGCTGCCCCCAGGCAACAGGTGACTTTGTATGCAGAGTAGCCAAGTAAGTCAGAGGGGGCAGCCTGAGATCATTTTGCCTGCACACCCGCTCCTCTCTTCCAGGCTACGGATCCACCTGGAGGGTGCCTTGGACAAGTCAACCCCCCAAGTATTGATGCCAGCGCTGCTCCTGTCCATTAAAAGAGGTTAAGTTATGGTGCTTTGGTGTGGGGAGTAGGGTAGAATGACCTTTTCCCCCTCACGGTAGCTGTTAGCGTTGAAGTCGGCTATACCCAAGAGTCATTACTTTGCCCATTGTGTCTGGGAAGAGGAGGGAGGCGGGATTGGAGATTGGCATAGCGATAAAACTTCCTGTCAGTTTTATTTCCTTTCCCATCAGTCCCGGACTGAAGGCTACCAATTGGTAAGAGACAGGACTGATTAAAACATCTGCTGGGTTTTTCCTCTCTTTCTTTCAGTAATGGCCAATTGATAAGCCAACCAAGCAATTGTCGAGTGGGGAATGCGGGGAGATGACCAAAGGCTGTCTTCCTGGAGAATCCGTTCTACTGTAGAACAGTTCTCAACTGTCAGAATTTCCCCCCCCAAAAAAAAAAAATATTTAGTCAGAATCTCCTTTCTTGTTATTTGAATCCACTGGTTTGGGTCCTGTCCCCTAGATCAGCAGGAAACAAGATTGCTCTACCTTCCCTGTGACAGCTATTCAGATATTTGAAAGTGGCTCTCCTGCCACCTCTCAGTCTTCTCTTCTCCAAGTTCAACATCCCAAACAGTGTCAACTGTTCCTCATCAGGCTTGGTTTTCAGACCCTTTGTCATCTTGGTCTCCCTCTTCTGCACACCTTCCAGCTTGTCAACATCCTAAAACTGCAATGCCCAGAACTGGGCACAGTCCTCTAGTGGAGTTCACCCAAGGCAGGCTAGAGTAGGACTATTACACCCCTTGATCTAGACAGTCGACTTCTGTTGATGCAGCCTAGAGTCGCATACACAACGTACTTTAGAATCACGCAGGTAGAAATTTATATGTGCACGCACACAAACATGCAGAGATGGTGACATTTTCTTGCTCCTGAAAGCTTTTGCTGTGATGTTATGAACAGTGTCAGCCACAGTGTGTGTATCCAGGATGGGGAAAGGGCAGAGATCTTTCTGCTAATGAGCTTCCCAACTGCCTCATTGGCGTTTGTCAGGCTTTGAAAGGGAATTGGCCCATAGAAAGGGAGGGGGTGATGAAAACTGCATCTTTGGACAGGGCTTTGCATATGAACACAGAACGGCCTGTTTATTCTGCAGCCCCTTGTTCCAGGAACAGGAGAGGGATTTGCTTCTCTCCACCCAATTTGCCTCGTGAATGCCAAAGTCAGGTGTCATTTAGGGCAGGTTTAGACAGCAAAGGACAAGCTGCCTGTGTTGGCTCTTGAGATCTGTGTTTGACTTAAAAGGACCCTGGCAAGGAAGCCGGTGTTTGGGTTCCATAGAGAGCCCATTGTGCCTGTGTGTAGTCAGGAGGGGTTTTATAGAATCACAGAGTTGTCGCGTTGGGAAGGGAACCAAAAGGGACATCTAGTCCAACCCCCTCCAATGCAGGAACCACAGGTGCCACATGAGCATGGAGTCTCAGTCCGGTGTGTGCAGAGAGCAGTGGCACAGCCCGCCCCCTGCTTCCTGCCCTGCCAGGACTCCTAGCAGGAGATGAAAACTGGGGGCAGTTCAGGCCAAGGTGCAAAGACTTCTACCAGAATGCCACTGGCCCTGGGTTCAAGACAGCCCTGGACAGCAAATCTAATCCTTCTTCATTGCTAATTGTGCTGAGATATCAGAAACTGTGGCTGCAGGGACAGAGGGAAGAAATCCTCCTGCATTGCAAGGGGTTGGACTGGGTGGCCCTTCAGATCCCTTCCAACGCTGCAAAAAAATTTTTTTATTTAAACTGCTCTCTCCTGTTTGTTTGTTTGTTTGTTTGTTTGTTTGTTTGTTTATTGGTTTTCACATATTACATTACAATACAAATGTACCAAAGCCAACACTGTTTCCTCCCCATCCCCCCCCAACATTTACATTTATATTTCCTCAATCCATCATATTATTCTTTTCTCCTTCCTCCCACTTCCCTCTACAATTCACCTCTACAATTTTTTGATTCAAAGGAAGTGGTATCAAAGGTGCTTACCTTGAAATCCCCGGATGCCTTTGCATCCTATGTGTTAGGTGCTGCAAGGGTCTGTCTGTCTGTCTGTCTGTCTGTTTCATTTATCTCCCACCCTTTTCCTCCCAGGAGCTTAAAGTACATGGTTCCCCACTCCTCATTTAATCCCTGTGAGGTTGGAGAGGCTGATGAGGCTGAGAGGCAGCTACTGGCCCAAGGTCACCCAGTGAGCTTCATGGCCAAGTCGGGGGATTTGAACCCTGGTCTTCCCCAGGTCCTTGTCCAACACTCTAACCACTACACCACAGTGGCTCTAGAATCCCAGCAAGTCTTGTATCATGATCTGCATTTGACAGTCCTTTTTTAAAAAATGAAATGTGACCCAAAGCAATTTACAAAAACATACAAACATGAAAACCAAGTGCAGTCATACCTCATGTTACGTTTGCTTCAGGTTGAGTGTTTTCAGGTTGCGTTCCGCAGCAACCTGGAAGTACCAGAAAGGGTTACTTCAGGGTTTCGCTGCTCACAGATGCACAAAATGATGTCACACACATGCGCAGAAGTGGGAAATCACGACCTACAGATGTGCAGATGTGGGTTGCGTTCCTTTCAGGTTGCGAACGGGCCCCTGGAACGGATCCTGTTTGCAACCAGAGGTAGGTAAAGGTAAAGGTACCCCTGCCCTTATGGGCCAGTCTTGCCAGACTCTAGGG